ATCCATCACAATTGCAAACAGAAATGGTGATAACACTGATCCTTGATGCACTCCTACCTTAACACTAAAAGCGTCCGACATCCCCCTTCCAACCCTCACCTTTGTCTTTGCCCCTTCATACAGCTGCATCACAGCTTTAACAAGTCTCTCATTCACTCCTTTCTTCCTCAACGCCCATTCAATGACCTTCCTCGGTACTCGATCAAAAGCCTTTTCTAGATCCACAAAACACATGTACAATCTTCGTTTCTTCTTTCTATAATTCTCCTGCAACATTCTCGCCATGAACAACGCATCCACCGTTCCCCTACCAGGCATAAACCCACACTGCATTTCATTAACTGTCACCATACTTCTCAACCTCCTCTCAAGCACCCTCTCCACTACCTTCATTCCGTGCTCTAGTAATTTCACACCCCTGTATGACCCACAATCTCTCACATCTCCTTTGCCCTTATACAACGGCACCAACACACTGTGTCGCCAATCCTCAGGTATACCTTCATCATCAAACATACTGTTAGCAATTCTCATCATAACTTCAATTCCTATCACCCCACTCGCTTTAATATGTTCCGAAACCCCTGTCGCCTTACCTAGTTTCATTTCTCTAACTGCTTTCTCTACTTCCTCCATCGTCACCTTCTCTATAGGTCCGTGTGTGACCACGGATTCCACATCTCCATCCCACTCAATCTCTTCATTCATCAACCTTTCCATATGAGCTTTCCACACCTGAGCTTTTTCCTCCTCATCTATGCACAATTTGCCAGATCCATCCCAAACACATCCATTCCCTATAACATCTTTCCTATCCCTCATTGACTGCTTTGCTACTTTGAACATTTTCCTCGAACTCACATCAGATTCCATTTCCTTCATTAACCTATCTGATGCTTTCGTCATTGCAGTTGCCACTGCCTGTTTTGCAACCTTCTTAGCCTTCCTATACTCAGACTCCGCTTCCTCCGTCATGTCCCTTCTCCATACCCTAAACCTCTCCTTCTTGACTTCCAAAACCCTTCTTATATCTTCATCCCACCACCACGTCTCACCATGCCTACACTTTCCTTTCGTCCATCCACATACTTTATCTGCCGTAGCCAACACACAGTCCCTGTATCTCTCCCAAACATCTCCATCCTTACCACTCTCCCAATTTTCAGTCACCTTCACTTCAAATGCCTTCCTCACCTCTGCATCCTGCAACTTCCATGTCTTTCTCTTTGCCACAAACTTATCCTTCTTCCTCCTCCCCATTTCTTTTGATGTCACATCCATCACAACCATACTATGCTGCAACATACCAGGTATCGCCTTCACATTCTTCACATACTTCCTTTTAATTTAAAAAAAATTAATTTAATTAATTTTAAATTTTTAATATAAGTTTATAAATTATTTTATTAACTTAATTAATGAAACTTAATTAAATTGTATTATAAATAAACAATTCAAAAGAAATTAATATTGATTTATTAAATTATTTAATTTAGTATTATTGATATATTTAATATAAATATTTAATAATTAAATAATTTAATATTAATTAAATTTTTCTTTTTTGTTGTATTTGTCAGTTTAAAAGTTTTCTTCGTTCTATCAGATTTGATTTAAAATTTAAATGTTCTTTTTTTGTCTAGATTAAATTATTTTTTGACAATATAATAATTAATTTTACTATGTGTTTGTTTGTTTTTCAAATTAATTAATTGAACTCGGAAAATAGTTTTTTAGAACTTAAATATAACATTTTTTCATGATTTTTAAATAAATTTTCTATTTTTGGTTAATTAATTTTAATTTCTTATGAAAAAACTACTGGATGTGCTTCCTGATTCATCACAGGATGGAGAACCATCAAAGGAAATTTTGAAAAACAACTACAAAAGTAGCAACAGCCAGCCGCAGTGGATCGAGGCTTTAGATGTAGTAGACGAGAAGAAGGGAAGTTTTGATAACTTTCAACAGCTATCGAAAGAAACCATTGCTAAACTTCAGTGTCAGTGTTGTTTTTTCAGAGAAATAATAATTAAGGGATACCAAAAACACTAGATTTTATAACTGATTATTTAATTAATTATTTAATATACATATTAATTCATTTAATATTATTTTAAGTATATATTATAATGTTTAATATTGCAAAATGTGCTATGACATTGTTATAAAATTTTAAGAAGGCTTGTCAAATTGTTCCGATGAATTTTGTTGTATTTTTTCAATTTGAATATTTTTTCATTTGCAAATAGTTCATTTCAACTTTTTATTATTTAAGTTATTAAAAAGTTCTCAACACAATTATTGTCCATTGTTAGCATCTAATTAATAAATTAGGTATAATTCCACAGAAAACTGAAAAAATTGAATTATATTAAAAGTACTTCAATATCTAATTACTACAGCGATGTTTAATTTAATGTAATGTGTCATATGTAATTTGTAATTTAATGTAACATGTAATATAGTGTAATTTGAAATTTAATGTAATATATAGTTATTATGCAGTGTTTTGTAATGATATATAGCATAATGTAATGTATCACAATGTGTAATGTAATGCATCGTAATGTGTAATGTACTGTAATGTAATCAAATTTATTGCAATGTAACATAATTTATGGTAATGTATGCACATCCATACAGCAATGGGCATTAAGTATTTCTTTCCAGTTCAGAGCAACACATTTGATGCTATTTATGAGGAATATGATGTTATCGTACAAGCAAGTTGGTACTGCTTCTTTAAATAGTTACACATAATTATATGCGTGTGTGTGTTCGTGCGTGCGTGTGTGTGTGTGTGTTCGTGTGTGTGGCTTCTATTAATAGATACACATAATTATATGTGTGTGTGTGTGTGTTCCTGCGTGTGTTTATATTAGTCATTTATATTCAGTTGAAATAATTTATTGATATGTTTTTACTTCATTAAAAATTATCGTTGTCTTTGGTTTCTATATAACTTTTGGATGTTTTTCAATCAATTGCTTAGATATTTATTTATTTTAATTTCATTTATTTTAGTTTTATCATAAAAATGGTAAACTTTAATTTTAATTAATAATCTATGAACTTTGTTAGAATTTAATTTTCATCATTAATTTAAACAATAATTTCTAGGGACAGGATCAGGAAAAACAGTATGTGTCCATTCTATATAATTACTATTTTCAATATAACTATTTTATAAATATTATTTTTTAGATAATTTCAATTTTAACCTCTTATTTAATGCGTACAAAAATCACACAAACAAATTTACGAAAAGACACAATTTATGCATACACTCATATGCATTCAGTTTACTTCCACACACACACACACACATGCATGTACACGTATGCTTTTATACTTCCGCACACACACACACACACGCACATGTACACGTATACTTTTACACACACATACTTATGCACACACAAACATTTAATTGTGGTCGTATTAAATACATATACCTACCATTATCTCAGATGTCATATGCTGTTCCACTAGTTGAGAAGTTACTGAAGCAGTCTGACAGCAACGCCAATAACAGACGCAGACTGCCTAAGGTTTTCTTTATGATGATGTCAATCATTGTGATGATGATGGTGGTGAATTATGTTAGTGGTTATCACCTTCACCATCATCACGATTGTTTGCCTCTATTGCATAACATGGCAGGGATTATTCTTTAGTATTCCATTGCATAACTTTGTTTCTCTATTTACTCACGGGATTATTATATTCACTAGACTCAACTTTACACAATTCATCATCTCATAATTCATCCACTCATCTCATCATCAAAATATTGCATTACTAAGTCACATGGTTATATCACATTACTACGACATTGCTACAACTTTATCACATCATCACTGATATGAACGGAACATCACTTTGCATCGTATCACGTGATAACGACATGGCATAACATAACCACAACATCGCATCATCTCAGATGTTGGTTCTCACTCCGACAAGAGAGCTAGCCAACCAGGTTTCTTCTGTCGTCTCATCCCTGACCAGTCGTCTCAACGTTGCTGCCGTCTATGGTGGGGCAGCCATTGTAACGCAAGGTCGGTAGGTGTGTGTGTTTGTATGTTTGTTTGTGTGTAAGTGTGTGTGTGTGCTTGTGTTGTTGTTGTGCATCTGCATGCGTTTGACTGTAGGCAATGACGAATGGTAGCATTTGTAATTATAATGATGATGTGAATGTGTATGGAGGTGAAATGTCGTTTAGTATCATTGGTTACCATCAATATCTACCCTGTCTTGAGGTCTATGACTATCTTTCAATCATTGCATATACAATCGCCAACAGAGAATCAACTTCGCCGAGGTGCAGATATCGTTGTGGGTACGCCAGGTCGAATACTTGACCTCATTTCTCGAAGGTCGCTCGACCTGGCCCAATTAAATCATGTTGTCCTGGACGAGGTCGATCGCATGCTGGACATGGGGTTCGCCGATGACGTCGACGACATACTTAAAAATAGATACAGGAAAGGTCGTGATGATGATGATGATGGTTTTTGTGATAATGATAATGATGTTGATGGTTGTGATGATGGAAATTGTGGCGATGATGGCGAGTGAGAAGGAAGTGTTGTGACTAAAAGTGGCTACTATCCCACCCCATCACAATGACAAAACCGAGAATGAAAATATCAATAAATTTATTTTCCATATTGCCAAATTACCCCCCCCCACTACCATTACCTCTCCCACTACCACCATAAAGATGACCGCGAGAACAACCCACAAACGCTCCTGTTCTCGGCCACCGTGCCAACCTGGGTCCAACAAACGGCAAGGAAGTACCTCAGTCGGGATATCAAGATGATCGATCTCATTGGCAGGAATGCTAACAAGACTGCTGTCACTGTCAAGGTTGGAATGGTCTGGGAATGTCGGTGCTGATGGGATGAGATGGAATGGGATAATTTCCATGAGGATGTTTGCTAATTGTGATGACATTTTAAATGATTGTACGAGATCCATATGAAATATTTTTGGAGGTGAGTTTTTCATAACTTTTTTATTCCTGTTCTGTCAGTTGTCATCGTGGGAATGACATTTTAATGCGTGTAATTGGGTAAAATCCTATTAAAAGTCTTTCAACGTTTGCAGATGTTTATTGGATTACTACATTATAATCTTTTTTTAATACATCATAATGTCACATTATCTTGCTCTACCATCACCATATACTCATACGTCATCGGGTTCACTCACACGTCATCGTTTTCACTCACACGTCATCTTGTTCACTCCTCACGTCATCGTATTCACTCCTCACGTCATCATGTTCACTCATCACGTCGTCATATTCACTCGTCACCTTCCCAGCACACAGCCATGTTGTGCAGCACATCAGATCGAGTCAGTGCCATCACTGACATCCTCACAAAACACGGCCGCCACCACTACAACAACAACTCCTCCTCAACAACAAACGTCGACAACAACAAAACTGACGATTCGATCGTTGATTCTGATAGAGTAAACGACGACAACAACAACATTAGTGGTGACGATGACAGCAACGTCGATGTTGATGACAGTACACCTCGAATCTTGGTGTTCTGTCAGACGAAGAGAGAAGTGGATGAGATCGGGGCGTGCAAGCAACTGCGGGGCAGGGTGGCCACACTTCACGGGGACATCTCACAGGTCCAGAGGGAAATCTCTTTAAAGGTCCTAGCATCTATTGCGAGAATTTTTATTAACTTTTTTCATTGGACGTATTTTTTTTTAATTGTGTTTCTTTTAAACAATTCTAACAGTGTGTCCTGTGTGCTTTATAAAGTCTCATTGTTTCAAACCAATAAATAACTTTCCTACCGAGCACCATTTTTTGTAATTAATTTATTTATTTATAACTTATTTATAATATATTTATTTATTTCATTTATAATTAACCACTCGAAAATGATCTCAATTATAGAAATTTAAAAATGGAAAAGTGGATTGCCTCGTGGCAACAGATGTCGCCGCACGCGGTTTGGACATTCCAGACGTCGACGTCGTCATCCAGTGCTCTCCACCGCAGGTCAGGTCTGCTTATTTGGGGTTGTGTCGCTAGTGTGACGATGATGTTTTTGGTTAGTGTTTGTATGTGGGGTTGAGTAACAAGTACATGCTACTAATAACAAACAATTTCCATGTTCTGTGTGATATTTGTAAGTTATCACCATCATCATCTTCATTATCATTCCACCATCACGACCAGGATGTTGAGTCTTACATACATCGTTCAGGTAGGACAGGCCGTGCAGGTAAGTCAGGCGAGTGCATTATGTTGTACACCCCCGAGGAGGTGGAAGATGTCCTGAAAGTCGAAAAGATAGCGGTTAGGGCTGGCCTAATTATTAGAAGAAAATATGAATTATAATAATATTATAATATCATCATAATATTGATAACATAATATAATTATTTATATTTTGTATAAATAATTATTTTTCTTCTCAAAAATATTATCATGTGAAGCCATCTAGCCTACTGCAATGCAAACATAAATTTATGCAGGGGTTCACATTCAACAAGATGAACTTCCAGAGAAGCATGCAAACAATGAAGCTAGATGTACTCAGGTTGTCTGGAGTTCCACGTTCATCAACTCGTCATATAATTGTTTTTCACCATATTAAACATATTAATTAATATGTATTGTTGATGGGTCATATTTGTTATAGATGGTTCATATTTATTATGATGATTATAGTTAATTATTTTTTTTGGTAAATAGATAAAAAAATGAAAACTATCATTTCGATGTCTACCCCTAGGATGATAAACAACGTGAGCAGTAGCACCAACAAAAAATTTGCAGGCATCGCGTCAGAACTTACGAAGGAAGTAGGGATGGACAGGTTGTTGTCGTCTGCTATTGCAGTGATGTGCGGATTTGAGCAGAAGTCACTTATCACATTACAACCTGTTAGTTGCTCGGGGTTGTTGTTCGTTATTTTTGGTTGTTGTTGCAATTTTTGGACAACTTGTTTGGTTGGATTGTGTTTTTTTTTTTGAGATGACCATGTTTTTGCTGGGCTGTTGTTTTGTTGTCATGTTACCATTCATTTATTTGATGTAATAAATTATTAATGACGTCTTTTTTGATTCATTTAGTTCTTACCGTTGATGGCCAATTTTTGCAGGATCTGTTGTTAATAGTTGATTGTTATTATCAGTGGCTATGTTGTTGGTACTTTTATTTATCAGGTTATTTTTAGTTTTGAATGTTTCGTTCGTCAGGGGTTGTTAACGTTGCAAGTGGCATCTGACAAGAGTAGGATATCAACAAAAACTCAGGCCTGGTCCCACCTCAATAACATCCTCTCTGAGTCAACCACCAGGGACATCAGGAACCTCAGACTCTGCTCTGACTATAAGGTTCTCTTTCATTCACTGCCTTCCCCATTTATTTATGTGTGCATTTATATCTGATATTCATCTATTCAGTGATCATTCGTCATTAGTGTTGGATATATTTTTTAAATGTTTTTTAATTTATTCGATCGAAAGTGTCTTTTGATGTGGTTTCTGAAAGGTTTTTCCGAAAGTTTATTTGTGTGCAAACCCCTGTTTTTTGTTCCTTCACGTCTTAAAACATTAAAAATGCACGATGTGAAATAGGATCTAAATAAAATTTATTTTCTTTCATTCCGTTCTATTTTTCTTGTTTCTGTCATAATTAATTTACTCGTTTGTACAGAGTTTTGTTTTTGACATTCCGTCTCGACATGAAGAAAAAATGATGAGGGAATTTGAGACCATTATCAACAGCAACTCGTACAGGTTGACAACACCTGAACATCTACCATCCATCGTCCAATCAGATATCACGAATGTAACTAGGTCATCGTCATTCAGCCCCTTTAACCGACACAGAAGTGGGTTTAATAGGTCACGTTGGACCAATGAAAGAGAAGACGACGACGAGGATGATGATAATGATGATGATAACCATGGAAAGTTCAGTAGATTGAGTCACTCATATGATAATAAATACAACAGATATAAACGTGATGGTGATTACAGAGGTGGGAGAGGTGGTTTTGCCAGCTACGGGCGCTTTGGTAATAAGTGGCTGGGTGACAACAGAGGGGGTAGGGAGAATGGAGACTTTAAGCTGAAACATCGGAGGAGTTTGTCTGATCAGGATGATTGATTGATTGATTGATTGATTGATTGATTGATTGATTGATTGATTGATTGATTGATTGATTGATTGATTGATTGATTGATTGATTGATTGATTGATTGATTGATTGATTGATTGATCGATTGATTGATCGATTGATTGATCGATTGATTGATCGATTGATTGATCGATTGATTGATCGATTGATTGATTGGTTGGTTGATTGGTTGGTTGATTGGTTGATTGATTGATATATATGTTTATTTTATAGGATTGTATGAATGGATTGATGAACCAATCATTAGAAAAAAAATTAGGATAATATAAGTTGAAGGACGAATTAACGTATATATGTAGTTTTTACTTAATTTATATCTAGACGGTTTTTTTAGACGAAAATGTTTATGGATTGAATTAGTGAATGGCACTTGAATGGATTGTGGTGAACCCATTAGTTAAAAATCGTTCAGCGTTCTTCGCCTGTCACTTAAGTATTTCAATTGTCGGATCATAAATTCTCTAAATAATTTTGTCAGTTGTCTATTTATAATAAAAGCAAATAAATCGAATAAAAATTGGTGTCTCGTTTTTTGGCCTCAACCCAACGTTTCAAAATTATCTACAACGTTTTTTGTAATCCGGATTCAAATGCGACTCCCAAGTTTCTCGTCAGCTATAGCGAATATTACGCTGGTATGTTATTTTACTGTTACTTTACCAGTATTACTTTTTCTACATCGTTGCTTACCTCGGCACGGATTCCTGCAGTGATAAATGTATTAATTTATAGTTACTCATAACGCTGCGTGGTCACTGTTATTGTTATTTTTGTTATCGTTATTGTTACGACTTGCTGTTTATTATTAATGTGCTATTTGTTGTTAATGTGCTATTTGTTATTATTGTGATATTTGTTATTATTGATATTTATTAAACTTTGTTATTTATTATTATTTTATTGTTGTTGATGCGATAACGTCATATTATCGACTAGCTCTGTTTTTTAAAGGGAATTAACATAGGATTGGAAACACCTGTTGTTGTTGTTGTTGTTGCTGTTGTTGTTGTTGTTGCGATGTTGTTCTTCTATGTTAGTCTTATTATTCATGTTGTTAGTATTATTGTTACGTATTATTAGTATTGTTGTTGTTGCTATTGTTGCCATTGATGATAATTGTTGCGATGTATGTAAGCTGTTGAAATGATTATTTTTAGCGATGAGTATAAAATGATTGCAGTGATGATGGTTATGAGTAAGAAAGAAAGAGCGAATGAGTGGTGTTGATCATGGTAATGATATGATAGTGATGGACACTCATCATAACATAGACATGATTTTGACGGCAACGTGATGATGATGATGACGTGATGACGACGACGATGATGATAGTAACATAACAACTGACATAGCAATATTTGCAGACATTTCGAATTTGTTTACTTTTATCATGTGGACAGGCCATAACATCGTTTGGTGGTGATGATGATGGTAATAATGGTGATGATGACGATATCGATGATGATGACGATGTCGATGATTACTTAAGCTAACATACGTTTTGATAATTTTCATTAATCACACACGTATGTGTAAATGTCTTAATTTCAATGCATTCATTGTATTTGTACCTGTGTTTGTTTTTTTTTCAAGTATGGGCGCATACGTAGTACAGGATTGTGTGTGTGTAGATGTGTATGTGTGTGTGTAATTAGTCTGTGAGATCGTGCTCGTGTAAGTGTAGTACGCGGTCTTGGATGTGTGTTAAAAGTTTTTGACCTTTCACACGGAAACACTCAAGAAATGCCATGTAATGAAATGGTCCTTCATTGTATATATCCACATCATACAGTGTGCTCATGTTTGGTTGTCTGTTTATTTGACGCATGCATTGCAAGGGCGGGATGTATTTATCAATACATGTACAGCTGCATTTGTGTGTGTAGTGTACTGTCTATGGGAGGTTCCTATGTTAATTATCTGCGCTGGTTCTTCATGGGAGGACTTGATCAAAGAATGGCTACCTGACCAGTCTGATGAAGTCGTCGAGTTTGACAACTTCGCGCATATGCAACATAGCTAACACCACCGGTTCTGGCATTAGAACGATGTAGCTGGATATCATCCTCTACGACGGAGGTTGGTAGCTAGAGGCCTTTTTTGATTACGTTACGAAGTACATAGAACGGAAAATGTTGCATACATGCAGAAGTTAGGAGGACTTTTTTGCGCCAGCAAAAGAGCTTAAAATAATTGGGTATTAATATTATTAATTCAGCCTCTACTAATATATTGTTATTGGCTAACGAACATAAGAAAATTATTGCAACTATAACAGAAAAATGTTTCTGTTAACACAATAATCATATCATGTAGACGATGCCTGGTTAAAAAACTCTTCTACATTCTGTAAGATAATAATTGCTGGTTGCTTTAATGTTGCAATTATATTCAATATTATATAATTGCCCGTAAACGTAAAGTTTTCAGAAATCGAACAATTTGGTTTGCCCTCTTGATCATTCATTGTTTACCTGAAATATAATAACTTCGATTGACTAGAGAGGTAAAACAAAAAAAGAAAATATACACTAGCACATAAAAAACAACAAAGAATTGGTCAAATCATGATCACATGGGCAATGCACACACACACGTTGACGCTCAAACGAAAGCACATGTAGAATGACCAGTTTGTTCATTCACAAGTAGGCCATTCACTTCCACACCACAACATGCAGATTAGACAGGCAGGCAGGCAGGCACAACACCCATGTACACGTACACATGTGAAAACGCATATATGTATACTAAAACGTTATTAACCGGACAAACATTGAGCTCATTCAGGCTAGGTTAGCTATGTAGAAGTACAAATAAACAAAAGGGATGTTCGTTTCACATCAGCTCATACTGTGTGTCCACAAATACGTAGTGCTTATGCGCTTCTGAGGAATTAACGTGTATAATTTATGAGAAAAGATCTGTATGTAAATGATGCATCTATGTGTCAGTCTGTATACTTGTAGGTATGAAAAGATGCATGCTCTGCTGCTGCTGTGTGTGTTTAATATAATAGACTAGGTTACTACAGTACTATGTTTCATGTATGTTCACGCACGCACACACACTCACACACACACGTTTGAGCTTGCGATTACAAATTTGCTTCCAAAATGAGAACATTCGTTGGACTGTTTAACTTCATTCGTTCCGGCGTAGCAGAACAAAACCACTTATAATTATTAATGAGGTAGTATTTAATTAATAGGAAGACATTAGAATTTAACGTTGTGATTAATTATCATTTTTGTTACGGATATGTTTTGTATTCATGCATTAAGAGCCAGCAAATGTGCTGTGCATCCATCTGTTGATAATCATGTCAGGCCATGACGTGGCTCTGTTTATCTAGGTCAATGTGACATGGATTTGACACACTGATTGACTTAATAATTATGCAAGATGTTCATTTAGCACAGTTTTAATTATTCTCATTGAACGTTGATATTTGAGAAGTAGAGAGTTGTGTGTGGTTTAGTAGTGCTGTTGCAGTATTTTTGCGGTAATACTTTATTACACAAATATAAGCCGATTCATTGAAATAATTCGCTTTTTTTAATTTTTGAAAAAATATAGGCAGTCATATAAAGAGAATTTGTGTAAAATACATCCATACACGCATGAAGGTTATATCTTATATTTGTATGGATTATAATTCGCATGTAACATTAGCTCATTAGCATATTATAATTAGATGCAAATGTGTAGCGCTTGAAGCTCGAAGGCTGGAAAAACGCGTCTCACGTAAGCTATTTAAGGACAGCCAGTCGGCACTTTCATTCTTTCTCTGTCGTCGTCCTCTGTTTCAAGGTGGTTTCTTTTTTTTTAATCAAATTAAATCACATGTTCGTTTTGAACATTTACTGCAAGAATTAATATAACAATATACTTGTTTTAAAAATTTTGTTTTCAAATTATTTTTGACAGAATCTCGCGCCGATTTTCAGTTTAAACTTTGAAAAACAAAAATTCAGAGATGGCCAAATATGAACAAGTTCTTGTTTTGGAAGTAGCTTCCGCCAAAGACAAAAATGCTGACACAGAAGGAGGAAAGTACAGAAGAGACACACCTTGGCTGGTTGAGGCTTTCCGTCAAAAGGGAGTTAAATCCGAAGTTCTTTTCATCACCAAAAATGACACAGCAGAATCTCTTATCCAAAAACACCCCAAAACAGCATTCCTAGGCCGCGTGAATCCGATGGATTACGAAGAGATAAGTCTCGACGAATATTTGAAAGTATTGCACGGCTTGAAAAAAGCTGGCGTTTTACTTGGTCCAGATGCAGAGCATATGGATCGTTTAGGCAGCAAGATGATTTTGTATGAGTTGAAAGATACTTCTATGGGCGTCGATGGTGTTCTACTCCATCATTACGAATGCATGAAAAAGAATGATGGTGAAATTGATCGAATCATACCAGTTAACGGACCTCCAAGAGTTCTTAAAATGCTTCGTGGATCAACAGGCCTGGGTGTCTGGAAGTTGGAGAACACAGAAGGTGATAAAATTCTCTTTACTGATGCTTACACTCAAAACTCTGAAGTGATTGAAAGAAAAGATGTGAGTAATTAAAATATTTTCACTTCGTTTTCCAAATTCTAACGTATTTTTTCAAATATCTTGTTTTAATTTTTAAATTTGTTCCGTTCTTCATGTTCACTTAGGCCAAGAGTACTAAAAAATATGAAATATATGCTACTTTTCACTTTATAATCTATATAATATACATATAAAGCCTCAAGAAACACTGTTTAGTATTTTTATTTAGTAATCTAATACTCTAAATTGTGATTGTTTGCTGAAAATATATTGTTTAAAATACAGACTCAGTAAGTTATTAATTTAGTCAGGGCTTTGTATAAATAATGTTAAAATTTGAAATTTACTGTATAATAAATCGTTCTGATAAAGATTATATCACATTTTATAAACAAAATGGTAAATTAAAAATTGAAATAAATACTGATGGTTAAATCGTTAAATGTATTGCAAATTTGCAGGTTATTCCTAAGTTTTTAGCTGTTTGCCAAGAAGATGCAATCAGTATGCCCTTCTTGCCACTGATCAAAGATGGTGAGTTTCGATTCTTGATGTCACGTCATGCCCTCCTTGAAATAGTTCATAAGAAACCAGTTGACGCAAGTGCATTCACTGCTACTCTTCGTTCTGGAGCTGTCTACACAACATACGATCCAAAAGTGCACACGAAGATGGCTGATGCTGTCGTGCAATGGTCTCATGACATCAAGAATGTTCTGAAAATAGACGATGTTCCATATTGGTGGTCTGTTGACTGCATTGAGGAGGAAGTTAAGGAAATGAAGCCTACTGATATTCCCAGCTGCAATCCAGGCAGGAGACTGGTCCTCTCGGAAATTAACTGCAGTTGTTTGGGACTTGTAGCCGACACATCTGCAGAAGCAAAGGCCAAAGGAATGAAATTTGCTCAAATGATTGCTGATATTGTTTTGGCTTAAGTTAAGATCTATTAAATACTACCTGTGTTTATTTATTTTAAATTTAAAGTTACTGTGTATCACCTCATGTTCTTGCTACATATTTTGTTTCAGTCGTTACTCAAAGGGTAGGACATATTTAAGGGTGGAGTAAATTGCAATGTGCCAAATTTTACATTTTCTCACTTGTTAGAGATGCTTCAATTTAGTAATTCAAACCATTTTTTTCATTTATTGTATCAGTCGATATCTATTGATCTTTATTGTATTAGATTTTCAATGTTATAGATTACCTCTATAGAATATAAAAATTAACTCCCAAGCTAACGTTTTGTGTTTAATGTTTATGAATAAGAATAATTAACAAATTCATCGTTCGCTTGTCTTGTTCGGTTTGTCGCTTTGAGTTTGATCCATTTAGTTATTCGCCCAACGAACTTTGGTACTAACATGTTTGGTAATATTTGGTATGTAGGTGTTTATAGACCGACTGGGTGTTGTGTGTGTATGTTATATTTCGAACCTCGGCTACTTGCATGATGGAGTATGACCAGGGTCATTTTTTTATAATTCTGTCATGTTTAGAGTATATATGTATGTTATATACTATGTGTAGCCGTGTATCATGAATATGTATGTGACTGAGGTATGTGATTAATTTCTCGATAGTCCGCTAATAACTATTAATTGTTCAGTTCGTTGAATTAGTGTTTAGTATTTTTTTTAAGTTTATCAAGGTACGGGGTATAACTATAGCATTCTACATAAATTGCATGATAAATTGTTATTATTCCGTCACAATCTCCTTATTACAAGCTATAATAAAAAATTATATCAAGTGGCAAATAAATATTGGTTTCTGGTCAACGTGAAGTTGTTTGAAATGTTATGGTTCAATTCCTGAATAATAAATTAAAATTTGACAATCAGACTGACGGTTTAAACTCTTTTTGTAAATTGCATATTATATTTATTTTTATAATATAAAGTTTGTATATATTACATAATAAATAAAATATAAACTGCTTGTTTTAATTGAATGTGTACGGTAATCTAACAAGCGGGCCCAAATTTCAGACAGCCGTTTGTCTATTTTTAATCTTTGAAGGAGTTTTTGTTTACATCTGTTCAAAGTTCACTTTTCAATTTTTTTAAATGGTTTTTGATTAAGTTAAGTTTGAAATTGAATTTATTTTGTCATTTGCATAATTTGTAATTATTTCGTTTTGATATTTGTACAATTTTTTGAAATTCACGTCTGGTTGGAAATGTTCTTCTTTCTCGTTTAATTTGGTTTTCCTTGAGTTATGTCATGTCATTTCTGATTTCTCCATTCAATTCAGTTGTCATCATATGACCAGAATGAAAAAAAAATTAAATAGCCAATACTATAATATTATTATACAATGATGAATGGATAGATGAATGAATGAATGGATAGATAAATGAATGAATGAATTTTAGTTACAATCACAAATGATTATTATATTTTAGTTAGAAATGAAATTAAAAAAAAGTTTATTGTTTTTAATTTTAATATAAAAACAAAATAAAATATTCATTGGAATGACTCATGAATGAGTGGTGTTAAGGATATAATAATACATATCATAATTTTGATAACATTTAATAACAATTAAGTTATTAAGGTTAATTAGTTTAATTTATTATATAATGGTTAGTATTTAATTATTTGATTTTCAAGATATTAAAAGTTGTTATTTGACTGGTCAGCCAGAAGGAAAGGTTAATTAATTTAATTTATTATGTAATTATTAATATTTAATTATTCAATTTTCACGATATTATAAGTTGTTATTTGACTGGCCAGTCAGAAGGAATGGGATCTAGTGATGCAGAAATGAAATCATTCCCATTCATTGGGGAGAAAACTTTTACCCAGGAATGTTCCATCAATGAGTTGAGGTCCATGGCCAATTCCTGGACATTAGCTGGAGATGCCAAGGTTTGTTTGCTCATCATTTGTGTGTACGTTTGCTTGTTCATGTGTTTGTATGTGTGTGTGCATGCGCGTTCAGTTCATACAAATTTGTGCATATGATATCTCTATAGAGTAAATAAATTTTAAAAACAATTTTTTAAAATTTATGACCAGCTTCTAGGCTACCTGCACCACCTATCGAACAAAATGACCCGCAGAATGGAGAATGTGCATGAACAGCTCGTCGATCTGCAGTATCGGACCAAAGTATTATACCATCTGCTATGTTTATTTTTCTTTAATCTAATAACACCTGCTATGTTTATCTATAGTTTGTATTATTTTTTTTTCTTCATATTTTATTTTTTCAAATTAATTTTAGACGACAGGTGTTAGGTTAAACAATACATTCAACCAGTTCAACACTCTTGCCAACACACAATTCGTTGAAAACGTACGTCTTGTATCCTAATAATCAATTGACATCTTTATTAAATGTTGAACTTCTTTTTTTAAATTTTAAATATTTGAATGTACAGAACTATTAAATCGTGCATGTGACCACCATAGCATACAAATCTCACATAAAAAAATTTGCATGTAAAACGTTGCAGAGAGTGTACGACGAGGACCTGCCATGCAGCATCCAGACATCCAGAGTCTCTGAACTGAAAGTTAAACACTGTTTTTCATTTTTGAATAAGTTTAATTACGAGCTGTTTTTAAACATGGAAAATTTTCATATTTTCAAGATTACATGATTTCCCTTAAAATGGCTTGAAGTAAATGATGTTAATTAACTATTTGAAAAGTTTTTTCAACCAATAAAAAAATGACACAAAAAACTAATGAATGAATGTTTGTTGTTATGAATGAATGAATGAATGTTAAATGAATGAACATGAATGACACAAAAACTAATGAATGAATGTTTAATGTTTCTTTGCTGCCTATTTTTGTTTCATTTTCGTCGTGATTGTCGTCTCCTCAACTTCCATGGTATTATTATTTCCGCCATTTATTCATTCACAGCCAGTATTAACGAAAGAGGAGCAGGAAGCAGAGTTCTTACCAAAGATAATAAATGCAGTTTCCATGGGGATCAAATTGCTGGATGGGTTTGATGGTTCAGCTGCTGATGGCGCGCCGACGACGGGTGGAAATAACGCAAAGGTTGGCGCTGTTTGCATGAATGAAATGAAAAATGAAATGGAAGAAAGATGAAATGGAAGTTGGATGGGTGCCGTGCTGATGTCGAAGTTTAAAATGATTGAAATAAAATAATTGTGCAAGGTTTAGTTAATATAATTAAGTAACAAATAGCCGACTTAATAAAACGCCTCCAATGAATCTTTCTTGCCACGCAACACAGGCAGACGACAGCAGCCGACCACTACCGCCACTGATTGGGTCACATGACTTCTTCCATCAGCCACATCACCATCGTCGTCACTTGCAGCAGCAACAGCAGCTACAACAAACCACACAAAATGGTTTATCAAACGTTGGAGCTGTTAGCAATGATAAAGATGATGATGGTGATGATGATAATCGTAACGATGAGGATGGTGACGATGAAGAAGAGGACGACGATGAGCTCTGTTAGTAACTTGTTATATTGCATCATATTTTTTGAATGTTGGTTAGTTGGCTGGTTGGTTTTGGTGATTAAATTCGGGAAAGTGATTAATAATTATAAGAACATAGAACTTAATTGCACGCCTGTGTGTGTATGTGTATGAGTGTTCGTGTGTATGTGTGTGCGTGTTCTTGTGTGTGTAATACGTTTTAAATGACTGATAATGGCAAGGATGATGTGCTAGTTAATCACTTCTCAAAATTATAAAATTTCAGCGCTCTTTTCTAGATTATTTCACTTTTTCCAATTTCTCAAAAATAATTTAATGTTACAATTTTAACGATGAATCATATAATATCATACACATTTATACATTCATATACATATATGTATACGTGTGTTTATATTATGCATGCATGTACGTGAGTGTGTATGTATGTGAATGTGTATATGTGTGTGTGTGTCTGTTTGTATGTATGTGTATGTATGTATGCGTGTGTGTGTGTGTATGTGTGTCTGTCTGTATGTATGTGTATATATGTGTGTGTTTGTGTATGTTTGTAATTATAGGATGTAATTTTGTGTTGCTAATGATTCCAAATTTTTATTAAATAATGCCTAGCAAGAGCTCCCAGATAGTTTTTTTTTCAATTTAAAAATTGTGAAAGTCTGTGAAAAAGTTAAGTTACTTTGTGGAGTGCTCTATCAATTTTAATTATATTTTATCAAATATTTGATAGCTCTTGTTACACGCTATCTAGCTAGTTGGTCCTATTTGTTTGTCTTTTAAGTTATTGTGTTTGTTGTAATTACTGTCATATTTTGGAGAAACTTTCTTTCCAATATTGATTGATTGATCTGGCGATTGATTGATAAATAGATTGATAGATTGATTAGATGGGTTGATGGAAAGATTGGATAAATTGATTGATCGATCAATTGATTGATTGATCGATCATCGATTGATTGATTGATTAATCGATCATCGATTGATTGATCAATAGATTGGCTTGATTGATCGATTGATTTAGATTGTTTTATTGATTGATTGGTTGATATAACTTTCAATAAAGCCACATATATAGTTATTCTCACGTGTAATAATTATGTACCATTTTAAACGGTATTCCTATCATCAATCAGTTAAAGCAGCGACCAGCAGTCGACACAAAAAATCTAAAAAAGAGTTAACTGCAGACGTACCAGTAGCAGCAGTCGAAGCGACAGAACACTCAGACATGTATCCAGTAACTAAGAATGATGCTAGGCTGATTTTGAAGGTAGGTTCATTTATCATTTGCTGTCAATGTATCGTTAATTGTTAATTACTTTTAATTAAGCTATTAATTATTATCAATTAATTAATTATATTTTAGTAATTTTAATATATTAATATTTATTCATTTATTTATTATTGTAATGATGTCTATAATGATTTCAATCTATAATCCATTCTCTCATTCATTCGTTCGTTTGTTCGTTCATTCGTTCATTCATTCGTTCGTTCTTTCATTCATTCATTCATTCATTCATTCATTCATTCATTCATTCATTCATTCATTCATTCATTCATTCATTCATTCATTCACTCACTCACTCACTCATTCATTCATTACATTTTGCAGAACGCCATTGATAAAAAACTAAAATCAAAAATTGTGAATCAAAAGAATGATGGTTAGATGTCCATTTTGAATGTAATATTCAATTTAATACACAATATACAGAACTGTATATTGTTGTTTGTGTGTTTGTATGTTTGTATATTTGGTATATTTGTATGTTTGTGTATTGTTTGTACATTTGTTTATTTGTATGTTTGTGTATTGTTTGTGTATTATTTGTAATTTGTTTATTTGTATGTTTGTGTATTGTTTGTAATTTGTTTATTTGTATGTTTGTAGAGTGTTTGCTTGATTGATTGTATATTTATATTCAGTCGTATAATTTTTTCAATATAGATGCTTTATATTTCAAATCAAATTTAAATCATTTATCGAATGAATGAACTATGTTTCAGTGGTCTCAACGAAGAAAGACCTATTTGGCGGTGATGATAATGATGTGGTTGGAGGCGATGATGATGATGATAATAGTAGTGACGTCAGTTACGACGACATGTTTAAGCCGCCAACAAAACGCCAGTCGTCGTCGTCGTCGTCGACGCTCATGCAGAAAGGAAAGAACATTGCGAGAAAGAATAAAAACGTTTTTGAAGTATGAAGTGGTGATGGTGATGATGATGGTGATGATGATGGTGATGATGATGACGGTGGTGATGATGACGGTGATGATGATGATGGTGGTGATGGTGATGGTGGTGATGATGGTGGTGATGGTGGTGATGATGATGATGATGGTGGTGATGATGATGATGGTGGTGGTGATGATGACGGTGGTGAGGATGATGGCGATGATGATAGCAGTGATGATAATGATATTATGGTTGTGATAATGATGACAAGGTTTTTTATTTCTTATTGGTCCTGGCTTGTTGGGATTGTTTGATGATGATGAGTATGATGATGATGATTAGACGGATGGTTGTAGCTCATATGTTATATTAATAGAATTAAGAATGATGATGGTGATGATATCATGCATTGATATAACATGATATCATGTGTTGGTATGGCATGATATCATGTGTTGATATGACAAGATATCATGTGTTGGTATGACATGATATAATGCATTGATATAACGTGATATCATGTGTTGATATAACATATATTGATATGACATGATATAATGTTTGATATAACATGTTATGGTATATGATACAACGAAGCCATAAATGAAAACGGTTGATTAATTGAAATTCATCAGAATGATAACCTTAGCGAGTCAACATCGTCTGCTTCGTCCATTTCAAATGTTGGGAATAAGGATTCCTGTGAGTGATGATGGTGATGATGGTGATTATGATGAGGATGATGGTGGTGATTATGATGGTGATGGTGGTGATTATGATGGTGATGATGATAGATATATTAATAAAAATAATAATTTCAGTGATGCTAGCTATATATTTCGGCCTATGTATGTCAGATCATGTGACCTTGATTTTTCTTTCTTCTGTTGATCATCAATCCACCAATCATTTCAGTATACTCAAAGCAGTTAGCCAACCAATCATCTTCCTTCTCCTCTTTTGTAGTTCAGAAATTCAAAAGTATTTTTGACGAATCGGAAGGAGACGGGGATGAAGATGACTTCATGTCGAAGATAACTGACATTATCAACAAGCCAAAAGCAGATAAGACTCTTTCCACTAAGACCACAACTAACAAAGGAACCAACGATGATGCTGACGACGACGACGATGGTGAAGGTAGACATTTTTGATTTATCTGATATCTGATGAGTTAAGATGATAAAAGTGATTGTTCAATGGATTTCACTTGTGATGATGTGAGTAGACGTTCGATGATGTATGATGATTGTAGCAGAAAACGTGGAAGCAAAAATAAGAGTTTGTCGACAGTAGGTTTATGTGATACTAACTTCCATTGATTACTAGGACTCTAATTTGGTAGATGATACTCCACAAAGTTTGCCTCCACGTTCAACGTTCTTCAATGCTGAGTAATTTTGATTGAATTTGTATTTTATGTCAATCAAAATTGCTCTAGCTTGATGTCTTTTAGATGTTATCTTAGTGTTGAAGTGTTTATGATCTAATGGCGATGTGTGTAACTATATACTGAAAAGTATACTATGTCCGAAACACGTAGCTATGCTTTAAAAATTTATCTTTTGCTGAACGCTTTTGTCCTTCGAAATTTAACAGAAACCAAGTAAGCACTAACTGGCCTGGCTTCTTGCAATGACTGTAGTTGATCAGTCGACAGACTCCCTTCATATAAAATATCGCTCTATTGAAGGCGTAAAGTATTTAAACAACAATTATTTATTCTCAAAAATGTTTTTGTAAATCAAATGACGTCATTTTCGTATAGTTTCTGGAAGCGTTTTTAAACTTCTGTACATTTATTTAATTTATTTGTAGGAAGATGAAATTGTTTCAATGTGCGACAATTTTGTTGATGCCTGTCTTAAAAATGTTCACAATCTGAAACTTAAATGTTTCTGTATCTTTCAACAATAAGTTAATGAGGTGGAACATTGCGCATAATAAAATATCAGCTATTCAAACTTTCTCCGATTCCTCTTTTGTTTACTTTCATCCTCTACTTTGTTTACCTTCATCTTCGAAACACTTCATAACAAAATTTATTTCAAAATAAAACGAACAAGCAGTGACAAAGGAAATATAAAAAAATACATAAAACGGAAGAGATAAGAACCACATGAGAAGATAATTAAATCAATCGACGTCTTTTCAAATTAAACCATTGGAATAATTAAGATAATGAACTGGTGGACTGTTTGCATTTTAAGGTATATTTATACACATAGCATAGACACAAATGTCAGTAAATTAAAAAATAACCCATTTTCCAAAAGACTTCTAAAAGATAATCGTGTAATTGAAATATCTGAAGTTCAAACTACTGAAATGTTGTCATCGTAATAAATAGAGAAATGAATGGATGAATGAATATGTGAATGAATGAATGAATGAGTGAATGAATGAATGAGTGAATGAATGAATGAGTGAATGAATAATTGAATGAATCCATTTAAATTTTTACTAACTTGAATTGTACGTCATCACATGAATTATTTAGTTATGAAGTTGAAAGATAATGGTTGATGTCACTTTTGATGATGATGATGACAGTTATGATGAGGATGATATGATGATGCCTCGGTTGCGAGTAATAACGATGACGGTTAAAATGATATTGAAAAATTTATATTCTCGCAAACTTAGATAAGTTGTTCGCAAACATGGATGTGAAGAAGGATGACAAACCATCTAAAAAGGTTCTCCATATGTCCTCGTTATCATCATCTAGCACTCATCCATTCATTCATTCATTCAAGCATCAATCTATCCATCTATCAATCTATCTATATATCAATTCATCAATATATCCATCTATCAATTCATCCATCCATTATCCATCTATCACAGGTTCCGCCAGGAGGTGTGTCCCTTTTTGGATCGAATCCTGCATTGATGAATTCATCTCTGAGGAAGAACAAACTTGTTAATAGGGTCAGTTTCAATAGGCGGATGGATAGAGGATTGAGAAGATGAATTGATGAACGGATGAATGAGTGAATGAATGAATATATAAATGGATGAATGGATGGGTGTGTAGATATATGAATGTAATCTTCATCTAAATAAAATACAAATAATGTAAGTTAGTTTTTATTTTTATGCAGCTTGATGACAATTCGGACGTTGGTGAAACTCAGGGAACACAACTTCATCCAGAAAATAAACAACAACAACAAGCTAAGCCAGAGCAGCAACAAGCTAAGCTGCAACAGCCCCAACAACACCAAACATCTAAACAACAACAACAGCAGCATCAGCAGTCAAAGTATAAGAAACCAACCAGCCTATTTGACAACAACACAAGCGAAGATGATGATGACCTGTTCAAACCTGTTGGTTTCAAAGCTCCAAACAAGACTCAACAATCCCTTGCCACAAAATCGTCTCAACCTCAGGCTGTAGCTCCTGTGGCTGCTGTTAACAAGGATGATGATGAGGATGATGAGAGTGAAGATGACCTGTTTACAAGTCTGTCAAAAAATAAGGTTAAAATCATCGTGTTCATCTCATTATTTAAATTTTCCATCGAACTTTTTTAAATTTAATTATTGACAGGATAAAAAAGTTGCTGCCAACAATCAACCAACAAGTCAAGTTACCGCCAAACAATATATCAATCAAAGCACTAAAGCTCCGCACATCGAACAACAACAATTTGAACATGGAAAAATAGTTATAGCAAAGTGCGTTTTGTTCTTTCTGTTCGTTGCCTTTTGATCGAATCACTTGATACTTCATTTCGTCATCATTACAGGTGTAGTCGTCGTCGTCATCATCGTCGTCGTTATCGTTATTAAATCTTAATTTGCAAATTCACTAACTTGAAATCACTAATTTATTTATTTATATACATATATATATGCCTTACCATGCCGAAACTTCATCTTCCACAGCAAATCCTCTAAGAAAGTTGTCAGTTTGTTTGATGACGACGACGACTACGACGATGGCGATCTGTTTGGCGCCACGAAGAAGGAGATTAAGAAAGAGGGGAGTGGTGATCGAGATGGTGGTACTGATGTGGTGAGCAGCAACGTCGTAAGTGCCTCTTTTTTGCCTAGTTTTTGTTGTTGTTTGTGTTTTGTTGCTGTGGTTATTTTGTTTGTTGTTTGTTTGTTTGTGTGTCGTTGTTTGTTTGTTTGTTGTTTATTGCAGATGCTTCTACTAGTTATAGCAACTTTGTTGTTTCAACTCTTGAATATTAATTTTATTTTAGTTTGTTTATGTACACTTTTCTACATTAATTTACAGTTTATTTATTTATTTTTATCTATTTGTTTTAAGAATTGCAACTCAAGATTTGTTATTCCTATTTCCCGCTCTTACGTTCACTTGAATACTTTTCACCGCGACAGAAACCTGCGAAGGCCACGAAATCAAAACTGTTCGATGACGCTGATGAGGATGAAAGTGATGATTTGTTCAGCTCATTGAAAAAATCAAACAAAACAGAATCAAAAGATGTCGTTGTCGTTCAGCAACAAATTCCTAATCTACAACCACAACAATCACAACAACCAAAGCAACCACAACAACTACAGCAACAACAACAAACTCAACCATCTCAACAAATCCCAGATAAAGACACCAAAACGAACAACTTAACAGACACAAAATTGGCAACATCGTCAAAACATCAACCAGCACCACCACCAACATTAATCACATCAACTACCGTATCTACTGGACAACCAACAACAACAACAGCAACAACAACTCTGGCAATATCCAAACTTAAAATGCTGTTCAGCAGTAGTGATGATGATGAGGATTTATTTTCAAGTTTATCCAACAAAACAAAACAACAACAACAACAACCACCACAACAACAAACGCCACAACCACCACAGCAGCAAACGCCACAACCACCACAGCAGCAACAGCAACCCCAACAACAACATTCACCACCACAACATCACACTAATCCATCCTTAAAGGAAAATGATTCACCATCTGACTTTCTGGCATCAAACAAATCAAGCAAAGGCCTCAACCAATCAGATGAAACCAAAGTACAAACAAACCAATCAAATGATTCAAATAAATCGAAACCGAAACCCATTTTTTCTTCGTCATCTGAAACTGAAGATGGTGGATCGATGAAACAGCAGCAGCAGCATCAACAATCACCAACTAATGATGATTCAGTTAGCAAAAAAAGCGGCAACATTAAAAACCTGCAGGTGAGCATGTTCATTCATCGTTCGTAAAAAATATAAGCTGACATTTCGTGAATATATGTTATATTTACAATTCAATAATATGTTATAAAATAATAATTTTGCAACAAACAATGTTTAAACAAGTGTATGATTGTATGCAGAACATTCTGAACATCAACCCCCTAACGTTCGGAGCCCAGTCAGCAAAGCCCATCTTCAAAAACAAACCTGCAGTCTCCGCCAAAAACCCCGCCAAGAAGGACGGCGATCATTTGTTATCATCTTCTTCATCATCATCTTCAGATGTTGACCTCTGCGCAACAGCAGCAACAGCAGCAGCAGCAGTTGTTACGGAAATTAAGGTGAAAGATGTTGCTAAAGATTTGATAGACGATCGTATGAATAGTCACACAAGCAAACAGGCTTTGGATGGCTCAACATTTCAAACAACGACATCTACTACAACAACGACATCAACAACTACAACAACGACAGCTACAACAACAACCAATGGTGAACATGAAAATGAAGATAGACAGAAGGAAACAATGGATCTGATAAAAGACAGAAGTGCTCCGTTCTTGCAGTGTGTTTCTAAGGTTTGAAAACATTTTTGGTAACAACCAATTTGCTCTGATTTTAAATTCGTTTTTACGATGTTAATTATAAAGCATTTTAAAATTTTAGTCTTCGTTGATAATGTTGATGAAACGATTGAAATTTTATTTCCACCCTCTTACAAGACCAGACCAAAAATTCGCAAGGCACGCAGGCCGAGAACAATACGAGCATGTGCTGCTGACAGTGAAAGCGATTTTGATGGTTGTGATTGGATAAGTAAAAAGTCACGTGATCACTCGCATAGCCAATCAAATCCGGCTGAAAACAAAAGTGTTCTTAGTAATCATGATAGCTTTAGCAACTTAAAAACGGCAGCATCCACAGCAACTACATCAGCTTCAACAACTGCTACCACCACTCAAAAAAATATTTCTTCTAAGGTTCCTACATCTATTACTACTGCTGTTACTTCAATTGCTTCCAACACTATTTCTGATGGTCAAGCCATTTCAATAACGAACCCTTTGAATTCTAAGCAAAATATTCAATCCCAGCAACAACCTCAACACCATCGGCAACAGCAGCTACAACAACAACAACCGCAGCAGCAACAACCGCAACAGCAACAACCGCCACCTCAACACTCTCAACAACAGCAGCAGCAACAACAACAGCAGCAACAACAGCAACAGCTGCAGCAACAACCGCATAAAAATCAGCAGCAAAGACCGATAGATAAGGAATCTCCTCTCTTCACCCCACCGAAGTTTGATGATGAAGCTGACGATGACGACGACGATGATTTGTTTGGCACGATAAAATACATTAAACCCTCTATTGCGTTGAAGACATCCGATGTTAACAACTTCTTCGGGAAGGATGATGACGACGATGATGATGACTTAAATATATTCTCAAATGCATACGCCAACAAAAATTTAACACTATCTGCTGCTGCTGCTACCTCTGCTGCTACCTCTGCTGCTACTTCTGCTGCTACTTCTACCAGCGGTTCTGTTGCTGCTTCTTTTGCATCTGCGGCTGAGGAAAAGAAGAGTGGCAACTTTTTCAGTCGACAAAACGTGGACGACGACGATGTTGACGTTTATTCGAACAACTACATGTCTGCAGTGCTGCCAAAACTAAAGACAATGCTAGCCACAGCAGCTTCCCTGACAACCACAACGACCACAACGACTCAATCCAAAACAGACAATTTTGGACAGAATGAAAGTTCTGATGACGATCTATTTGCCACTACTACATCTACCACCAAAACAGCCATTGTTACCGCAACGACGGCTAAGACTACTACTACTACTACTACTGCAGCTGGTGCTGCTGCTGAATCCAGTACAACTACAAACATTACTAACGCTACAACTATTCATAGTAATATTTCCAATGCTAATATTCCTACCATCAATTCTGCTTCTACTACTTCTACAATTACTGCAGCTTCTGCTGCTACTACCGCAACCACCGACAATCCTACACGAAATGCTAAAGTAAATCTTAAAACCATTAGTGAACTAATAAATAGTGATGACGACGACGATGATATTTTTAAAGAAGCAAGAGTTTTTAAAGGTATAGCATGGTATTATTATAATAAATTACTCTGTAATTATTTTTATGTTTTATAATAAATTTCAAAAGTACATCGCTTGGACTAGTTAAGAGTTTTTTTTAGTTGTAGTAACACTTAAATGCTAGTAACAGAAGTAGTACTTACTTGCAGTAATGATGGTCTTTTGTTTAATATCGTTATGGCTCTTAATTCCATTAATTAATTGATCCGTTCTTAATTGATTGTTGAGTGAGAATCTATTTAAAAATGTAATTATATGTCTATAAATAAAGCGCGCTTGATTTTTACATTATTTATTAACATTTAATAATTGTCTTTTATCTTTGTTTCATCATCGTCATTGCCACATCATAACCATTGTCATCATCTTTTCCGTCGTCGAAATCATTATCGTTATCAACATCTCCTTCATCATTTGGGTCATTTTCATCACAATGTTTATCATTCTCACCACCCATCATCAACGTCATCATCATCATTGATTTCATCATCGTCACTATAATTATTTTAATATTATTACCATGTAATGCCAACCACCCTACATAATGCAGACAAAGTGGCTACTGCAAATGATGTCAGCGGAAACAGCAGCAGCAGCCACAAGATAAACAACGTCACCACCAACAACATTAATAACGAAATCGATAAAAATGACAGTCTGTTTTTTAGCATTCCAAAACAACAACAAAAACCACGACAACTACCACCACAACAACAACAACCAAAGAAATTTGTAGCCACAAGTAAAGCAAGGAAGAACACAACTAATCTGTTTAATTTCGGTAATTACATGTTATTTCATTGAAGTACTATTAATACTACTGTTACTAATTAGGGATGCACCGGATTCAGGTTTTTCAAATCCGGCCGGGGCCGGACTTGGCCGGATTTGAAATTCAAAAACCGGCCGGGGTCGGAGCCGGGGCCGGATTTTAGTTACCATTTTACATACGTTAGAAAAAATACTCACATTTACGGTTATCTACATGTTGAACATCAAAAAATAACACCAAGTAAATAGTTATTTAATTCAAATATATGAATAAGTTGTGTGATACGCCAAATTCTGTACACAAAGATCAGCTTATAATTTATGCATATTTGCATAACCTAAGTTAAAGCACAAAGAAAATTGTCCAGCTCACCGCACAATTAGTGATGTTGTAATTATGTGTCATGTATACCTAGCCTAACCTTTAACATACCATGTTCTTAAATTATGTGCTTATGTATCTCTCTCTCTCTCTCTCTCTCTCTCTCTATATATATATATATATATAGATATATATCTTTATTTATATATATATATATATATATATATATATATTATGTAGCTATATGATCCGTCATGTGCAATTATCAATATATAGTATATACACGTGCACAAGTTCTTTTACACAAAGATCAGCTTATAATTTATGCATAACCCATGTTATAGAATAAAAAAATTGTCCAGATCACCTCACAATTAGTGATGTTGTTATTATGTGTCATGTATGCCTTTAGCTTAGCCTTTAACTTATTGACATAAAATTAATTGAATTCAATAAAAATTTTTTTTTCTGTTTATAACATTTTTAAAAGTTGATAGACGCTTAAATCCGGCCCTAAATCCGGCCACCAAATCCGGCCCTAAATCCGGCCACCAAATCCGGCCCTAAATCCGGCCACCAAATCCGGCCCTAAATCCGGCCACCAAATCCGGCCCTAAATCCGGCCACCAAATCCGGCCCTAAATCCGGCCACCAAATCCGGCCGGGGCCGGATTCGACCGGATTTGAAAAAAAAGCCGGATTTTGGCCGGGGCCGGAGCCGGGGCCGAACTTCGGTGCATCCCTATTACTAATACTACTATTACTATTGCTGCTGCTGTTGTGTTACTGCTGCTGCTACTACTACTACTACTACTACTACTACTACTACTACTACTACTACTACTACTACTACTACTACTACTGCTACTACTACTATTACAACTGCTAATTCTGCTACTACTACTACTACTACTACTACTACTACTACTACTACTGCTACTACTTCAACTATTACTACTACTACCACTACTACTGCTACTACTTCAACTATTACTACTACTACCACTACTATTACTGCTATTGCTACTACTACTACTAGTACTACTGTTGATAATGGTAATAGTAATCATAACTGTGATAACGTTTGAAAGCGATGAAAGAGTTAGTGATAGTGTTTATGGCGATAAAGAAATGTGAACGTATCATCAAAACATCATCGTCGTCATCGTCATCATCGTCGTCATCATCATTTCTTCTTCGTCACCACTTCCAATCGTAAATAAGATTGATGCTTTCATTTTTTTGCAAAATCTTTTCATCTTTTTTTACTTTTATTAATAATTTTTATCTTTGTTTTTATCCTTTTTTTTCTTTGGCTTTACCTTTTTCATAATCTTTTTTTGTATTTTTTAGTCTTTTTTTCCGTGATCACGTGTTTATTTTTCCTTTCATATTTTTGCACAAGCGATGAATTTCAAATGCCGATAGTATTAAATATTAATCAAGTCTACGCGCATGCATATCTTCCTCGATGCATGCATCTCCTCCCAGCTTATGCGTTGGTCGATGTTCATTTCATGCATAGTATACATGTATAGTCTACATAACTGCATGAATGTGTGTGTATGTTTTATGTACGTGTGTATGTTTTATGTACGTGTGTGTGTATATATGTTTTATGTATGTGTGTGTGTGTGTATGTTTTATGTACGTATGTGTATGTGTGTGTATGTTTTATTTATGTAGGTGATATTGTATTTGCTGTTATGGAGTATTGAACATACGTGTTTGTTTATCTGGCAGTTGAATAAATTACTTGGCGAAGGAAGTAGTCTTGCATGAAAACAAAATCACCAAACCGACTTCTCAAAACTCAGAAAATAAGACCCACTTCAATTTATAAGCTCAAGTTCATCTGGAGCACTGCCCTGATGTTGATTGCGGTTAGTTTGGAAGTCGGGTAGGGAAGTCATCCTGATGTCATTGATCTCCTCAACGTTCAGTTCATTTGATTCAACGAACGCCGCCTGCTTCATTTTATCAAAGATGGCATCGTTAACAGAGCAGGCTCGCTTGAAATCTGCAGACCATTTTTCACTTTTGAGAGCGGTATAATTAGAATTTAAACTTGGGCTATACGTCTCAACAACTCATTACTGGACAGACAGATGACAGACAGACAGACAGACGAACAAGCTGACATACTGTTACATCGCCTCAATTGGTTGATGATGTTGTTTCATGTAAACTTAATGAGTTAATTGTATTAAATGGCGCAGTGCTGGAAATAAATGACTAATAAGCCAATAAATCTCTGAAAGTTTGCACGATCTTTCAACCCCGACGTTCGAAGGCACTTGTTAAAAGCTTATTTTTCATTTTCAGTTGAACGTTTTTCTTACATGCAGACTCAGAAATGGAGTCTACTTTTTTTTGAAGGGAGTAGCATGGAACATTCCTTTGATTAGCAGGATGTTTCTTATTACATGCCGTCACTCAATTCTATGCCAGTTCAATTCACCGTTGCAAGATTTTTTTTATAGAAAAAAATTATTTTTTATAGAAAATTTTTTTTAGTTATATTTAAGCAGTGAGTGTTTCAACCGAATGAATTTTCCAAATAATTAATTTGTTGATGAACAGCTGTCAAATACTCATATCGTATATTTTACTTTATTTTATTCATTACCAACAGATGATGATGACGACGACGACGACATGTTTGGCATTAATAATAATGATAATAATAATAAAAATAATAATGATAATGTTGTTGTTGGTGCGCATTCATCATCATCATCATCACACCACCTCTCTTCCAATAAGGATAAACTGAAAGGAACTACTTTTCCATATTCAAAAAACAACAACAACAATAATAATAACAATGATGATGATAATAACAGAAAGAAGAGCAACAAACCAGACATCAAGTCTAGCAATGTTTTTCAAGATCCATTGAATGCCTTATAAATTTATTTGAAAACTTTGATTGATTGATTGATTGATCGATTGATTGATTGATTGATTGATTGGTTGATTGATTGATTGATTGATTGATTGAGTGATTGATTGAGTGATTGATTGATTGATTGATTGATTGATTGATTGATTGATTGATTGATTGATTGATTGATTGATTGATTGATTGATTGATTGATTGATTGATTGATTGATTGATTGATTGATTGATTGATTGATTGATTGATTGATTGATTGATTGATTGATTGATTGATTGATTGATTGATTGATTGATTGATTGATTGATTGATTGATTGATTGATTGATTGATTGATTGATTGATTGATTGATTGATTGATTGATTGATTGATTGATTGATTGATTGATTGATTGATTGATTGATTGATTGATTGATTGATTGATTGATTGATTGATTGATTGATTGACAAATCGATTTATTTATTTATTAACATGCATTTATTTATCCACATTCAACTTTTTTGATTTATAAATTGAACCAAAAACTTTGTTTTTTTTTTGGGAAAAATGTACCAAATAAAAAAATGAATCATTTTGTTATCAATTGATGTACACACAAATAATAATAGTATTTATAAAAGATAATAAATAATAATACTAAATGAGTTGACAATAGATACACACAAAACGATTGTTAACTAATTTTTGAAATTTTATTATTAATTACTAAAAAATTTTGCTAGATTATCGTTGTTGTTGTTTTTATTGTTGTGGTGGTTGTTTGTTTCATTAATGACATTTTCTTATTATTTTTATTATTCGGTTGGTTGGTTGATTATTTTTATTATTTCGATACGTGGCATCCCATCACCAGATTGGACTTTAATTTTAGATGAAAGAAAATCGCACATTCTTCAAACATTTAAGATGATTGTGGAAATATTTCTGTTCGTTCGTTCGTTCGTTTGTGCGTTCGTTCGTTTGTTTGCCTGTTCGTTTGCTTGTTTGTTCTTTCGTTTGTGAGTGTGCGTGCGTGTTTTGTACGTGTTAGTAAATTTGTGTATAGGTGTAAGTGTATGTGTTTATGTAGGTATATGTTTATATGTGTACGTATTTGCATTTGTACCTGTTAATGTGTGCAGGTTTTTGTACGTATGTATTTGTAAGTATGTTCGAATGTGTATGTACACATAAGTACATACATACATACATACATGTGTATAGGTAAGTGTATGTGTTTATGTAGGTATGTGTTTATATGTGTACCTGTTTGTATGTGCATACATACACGCACACAAGTTTAAAATTGTTAAATAGTTTCATAGGCTGAATTGTTAGCTTAAAATTTTTTTTTCTCCTGTAATTCGATTGCCATGTTGATTTGTCGCCATATCGATTGCATGTAGCAGATTTACATCTTGTATTGTATGGGTATGTGTGTATGTATGTGTGTATGTATGTGTGTATGTATGTATGTGTGTGTATGTGTGTGTTATGTATGTATTTATTTATTTATTTATTTAGAAATATTTATATAGCGCAAATTAATGTATGTATGTGTGTGTATGTATGTATGTATGAACGAAAGAGTAAATAAATAAATAGACAAATGAGTGAATGAGTAAATGAATGATTAAGGAGATGGATAAATAAAACAAATAGTTATTTATAATTGAAAAGGTCGCCATCCACTAATTCAAAATAAACATTCACTTAATTATTATTACTCTTATTCATTGCCGTTATTTTTATTCTTGTTGTAAACCTAATAATAATAATAATAATAATACTAATAATAATGATAATAATTACTATTATTCTTAATATATCTTCTAAATGTTTCATCCTCAGATAATAAAAAGTAATTTGCGCTTATAAACATTTACGTCATTCACATTCAGTTCGTGCATTGTTCATTCAATCATTTGTCTGATCGTTCGTTCAACTCGCAGTTGTTTAATTTATTCCACTAGTAATTAATTAATTAATCAATCAATTAGTTAATTATTAATCTATTTAGTCAGATAAATAAATCATTCAGTTTTTTATTTCAATTTTATATTTTTATAAGTTATCCTATTAAACTAACATAATTAAAAAAAATGGTTGTGTGTATGAGTGTGTGTGGTGTGTGTGTGTGTGTGTGTGTGTGTATGGCGTTCACATACAAATACATCCGTATTGAATCCGGATTATGAATATCGTTGTTTGAGAGATTGAACAAGAATATCATTGTTGGAAGGGATGCATATTTTATAAAAGGTGACTAACGCAACGGTTAGACGGTTTAAGTGGGATGATTAGCATCATATATCTATCTATAATATATATATATATATATATATATATATATAGTTTGACGCGAGGTTTTCGTTATAACGAATTTGGTTGAATGTTCTTGCCCATTTTGTATTAATTAATTTCTTTTGGGTTTGTTCAATAAGACGCAATTGCTGTAACTTAATTTTATTAAACTCGTCAAGCATTTCGAACGGCTGACGACGTCGTTTCGACAGTGTATGTCATCATCAGAGCCTACCTTTAAATTATTGAATAAGAATTGAATATTCAAAATTGTAAAATCAAGAAGAATAAACGAACCAAATTGGGAAAATATAAGCGTAAAATGGTTAAGGAAATTAAATTAAAATTAATGTAAAAAGTATACGAAATTTGAGTAAAGGTACTTAACTTGCCAATAAAATAAATTAAATGTTAAGATAACTGATAATAAAATATACAATATACAAAATATGTTAAATGAATTTCAAAAGTTAAATACTGGAAGTGAAGGTAGAAGTACGAATATCGATATTGCAAATTTGGAATGACAACGAAACATGTGTAATTAATTAATACAAAATGGGCAAGAATATATATATATATATATATATATATATATATATATATATACATTAATTATTCGTAATTACTCTCCATATATGGCTGAATTATATATTTCAACAAGCATTGTTTTTTGAGAAGTTATATCTGTGAGTTGATTGACACTTACTGAGAATATTAAGCTAAACTAAAGTCATAATGGCACCATTCAGACGTTTTGGTGAATAATGAAATGAGGCTTTCCGTAATTGGTGCTGTACACACACCACACACACACACACGCTCACACACACAAACACTCACGCACACTCAAGCACACCCGTAAACTATTTAAAATCTAAATTTTTAAAAATAGTTAAGATTGTTGAAAATAAAAATTTCGTCCGTAGTGAAATTCACATGCAAATGAGAAGAATAAGGTAGTGATGATGACGACGATGAAGTGATGACGACGACAACGAAGATGATGACGATGACGAATGATATATAGAAAGAGATCTATTAATAATATTTACGTAGCGTAAGGAAAAAATTTGATACTAGCTTTCAAGCATTTTTTGAAAAATTAATATTTAATTATAGTGATTTGAAACCACTTAAAATTGAAAGTTAGATAATGAAATAGGACAATTAATTTACTCTCTGAATCTTCCTCAAAACCATTTTGAAGTTGGCTTGAATGTTTCACAAATAGGACTGGATGAAAGTCAGCCATGTTTGCCATAAATCCTCTATGACACCATACGGTTATCAGAGAATTTATGCGAATAAAATTATGTAAATAGAGATTTAATTCTTGTTTAAAATTTATCTCGATCAATATCACATCACCATTCTACCTCATTTAATTAGAGAATAAATCAGTGTGAATGAAATTATGTAAATAGAGATTTAATTCTCGCTTCAAACTTGTTTCGATCAATCATATTACCATTTCACATCCCTTTCCACCAACATTGGAAAGTGCACAACCACCACCATCATTATTTTCATTATTCATCCATATCTTATATTCTGGAAGAGTTTCATTTAAAGTGAGTGAATGTTATTTATGTTACATCTCTGTGTATTGTACTGTTTAGACGCTTTTGTTGATGGCTTGTTTTGTTTTGCTTTGTATACTGGTTTGGTTTGTATGCTTTTGGTTTGTTTATTTGTTTGTTTGCTGTAGCATGATAATATGTAATATACAGGTTAGACAGACAGACACACAGTAAAGTAATTATTACAGAAGTAAACTAATTAATAAAATATATAAATAGATAACATGCCTGGCTTAATAAAATATTTAGTTGATTAGCCCATATACAAACTACGCCAAAGTCAAACATGGGTGGAGCAGTTTTAATTTGACTTGTAGGGAGGAAGTTAATAAATGTTTTTCTGATAAGAATAATTAGAATAAGGTCTCCAAAATTTATTAACGAGTCTTTAATATAAGTTAACTAAAAATGTGTTTTTATTAAATATTTTATCTGCATATTGTTTATGTTCTTGTGCTAAATATTTAGGTTTAATAGGGCAGCACTTGAAGCAGCAGTTGAAGCAGCAGTTGTGGCAGCAGTTGTAGTAGCAGTTGTGGCAGCAGTTGTGGCAGCAGTTGTAGTAGCAGTTGTGGTAGTAACCCATTTACTTGTCGGCGCCTGATGTAATTGTTCATTCTTCATACATCAGATTGAATCATTCATTCCATTAAAAATGCTTCAATTATTGTGGGCTACTACATCTACTATTGCTTTATCAACCGAAATGACTTTTACTGAAACACATGTACGTATGAATTATTTCATATCACCTCGTGCACGTGAAACAATAAAAATATTAAAAATACTTTCTTACTTAAAAAAATGGAACTTCATTATGTAAACGGGTTTGAGACGAAGTTTTCCAAACAATATTAACCTTTTAATGTTTCGCAGCGTGAACTGGCAGAGTAGAAGAAAGAAAAATAATATGTTTAACCAATTATCTAGTCGTTGCAATGATGATGGCGCGAGCGAATCAAGGAACTGCTAATAATCTCAACTTCTTCTCAAATGATGTGTGAATATTCTATTCTACGTTTACCTTCATAGCTAGTTAGTTAATTTCTATACATATACAATATAAAACATTTACACACACACATTACGCACTCACATATATTGATATATATATATATATATATATATATATATACCACGTACACACATTACACACATATATGAACCAGCTACATACATACAAACAAACAAATAGTAAAGGCACATAGAGGCACGCATACTATCAATTGCAAGCAAAAAATATTACCAACGAACACACACGCACAAAAACATCTGCATTCTTTTTAACTTACGAACAAACTATGAAAAAATATAAAGATAGTTTATCATTTCATTTCTTTTCAAGTGCTAACAGGTAACACACACACAGAAGCCTTTTTTGCTGTGCATTACTCGAACATAACATCCTAAGATACAAAATAGATGGTTACTTTGATGGATAGATACAATATGCAGAAGATACAAAAATAGATACTTCATGGTTTACCTTGATGAATAGATACAATATGCAGAAGATACAAAGATAGATATATTACACATACAGTATCAGATAGATAGAGAGAGAGAGAGAGATGCGAGAAATGTATGAGCATATTTTTCTTAGATATTTAAATTAAGAGATAGATAAATGATATCTATAACCGACAGACAGACTACGTGCAATTCTCATTTCAAGAGCTATCCACTCGAAAAAATTTCTTTTTTTTTTACTTTATTATAATTTTAACTTCTGTGTGAGTGTGTATTTATTTTCAATGACTTGAAACTTGAAACCGTCAAAGTTTAAGTAAAATTTTTTAAATAAAAATATAAATATCATAATAAGAATAAGCGTAATTTTTATGAAGCAAGGTTTTTGATGTCGTTGAAACCAGGCTGTCGGTGTATCATCTGACTCCGGCAAAAATATTCGACTCCATCATTCTGCCTGAAACATTAGTGAATTTGAAAGCACACTGGCAAATAAATAATATGACAAATGTAGTCATATATTTTGGCCAATCTGCTCAAGAGTAAATTTTATACTTAACAAAAATCTTTCATATATATTAAACATTATAACTCAACATAACAGTCTAACTGTTAACATTAACAAGCGAGATATCGCAACAATATGTCGGTAACATTAACAAATAAGACATAACAATATAACATTTATACATATAACATACCATTATGTAAGATATGCGTTCACAAAACAAAATTTTAGGTAAACTTTGCGTTCGTAAGTGTATACAACCTCGGCTTAACGATTGATCGCTTGATGTGTAGTAATTACATTTTTTGGAGTGTATAATATTATAATATACATTATATATATATATATATATATATATATTTATATACGTGTGTGTGTGTGTGTGTGTGTGTGTGTGTGTGTGTGTGTGTGTGTGTGTGTGTGTGTGTGTAAATAAAATAATTTTTAAATCTCTAAAATAGAGACAATCTTAATTAATAACTAATTATAATCCTTCTTAACGAACGTTGCTGGCTCTTGATGAGATGAGCAAGCCAGGCATACCTCGATGTTCAATCAATCAAATAACACAGTGCATAACATCTGAATGAGCGAATCTTTCAACCTAAACAATAACCTCTAAAAAATCATTAACAACTGAAATGACAGTAATAACATCAAAAACAACAACAAAAACAGCAACAACAACACAACAACAACAACAATAGAAATAATATTAACAACTTGAATTCACGAATTTCAAAATATGCAAGTTGCATTTAAATTACATTGCAAATTTATTTAACAACATTGATGTGTGTGTGTGCGTGTCTGTGTTTGTACTTATACATGCTGAATATAATTATTCCTACTTATAATGCTGATAACTTTTATTGGAAATATCGCAACAACATTCATTACGAGACTATGAATACTAATAGAAGTAATAATAGTAATAATAATAATATTAATTATTCTTATAACAAGAGCAATAATAATAAGGTTGTGAGTTAGCTATATAAGAGCGGTGACGATCGTGAATATTTGAGAAATATTTTGTTGTCTGCCGAAGTTGAAGTAAAGATTTTTGCTCATTGGATCTTAAATATTTTTGCTGGCGTCTAATTAGATTACTACTTTGATTTTGATATGTTAGTAAGAATTTAACTTCAAAATTGTATGTATGATTTATCAGCTGAGCTGAATTAACTTTTAATTACTTTTAATTCGTGTAAAAATTACTTTATTATTATTATTATTAACGGGGTTTAAAGTGGTTCAGAAGACTATGGTCTGTGTAAGAACCACTACTAATTAGATCTCCTAATATCCTATCTGTCCGAGTTTGACTTTGAAACTGTTGAGTGAATTCGCAGAGACTGCATCATCGCTTAGCTCGTTCCAGGCGTTGACCACTCTACTGCTGAAGAATCTGCTCTTTATTTTTCCATCCAAGTTTTTGAAAATCTTAAATCTGTGTCCTCGTAGTTTATCACTGTTTTCTAGCCTGAAAAATCTCGAGTATGGAGTTGTTTCCCTATTCGTGATAAATTTATATGTTTGGATTAGATCTCCTCTACATCTTCTTTTTTCCAATGATGTCAAGTCGCATTTTTTCAATCTCTCATCGTATTCCATTTTTCCGATTCCTCTAATCATTCTTGTGGCTCTACGCTGTACTTTTTCCAAAACTTCCTTATCTTTCTGCATACATAACTTCTAACTATTTTCAATTCTTTTATCTTACGCTGCTGAATAACGCAAGGAAGTCATTTTTCAAATGTGAATATTGATGATACATAATTCATTTTCAAGTTATAAACCTACTCTCGCGTTTCAAAAAATTTGAATAATATTAAGTTATTTTAAATAGTCTGAAATTGAACAGAATTTCATTTATTGAAAATATCAATGCTTCATCTGGTCAAATATTTAAATTAATCCTTTCCTTGTGGAATTAGAAAGCAAGTGGATTAGCAAAGGAACTTTTGAAGATGCTACCCACGGAAGGAAAATTTTTTTTGCTCGTCAACAACGAATGCAACTTATCCGTCGGAATCAAGAGTTAGTTCATTTATGTTAGATAATATTTTATACTCATTGCTTAAAAATATCTTTTTGAAGACCAATATGAGTAAATTAATTTGAATTTTTAAATCATTTAAGATCTAATGAACAATTCTCATAGAACTGCAAACAGAAAATTAAATTTCAACAAAACTTCCGACAAATTAAATCGCTGAACAGATAATAGGGACGACCCAGCAACACCGGTGGTACTGTGCAACCAGGATGACAAGCAGGAGCACCAGATATGGTTTGAGGACCCTGCCACTGGCACCATCAGGTCCTTCGCCAACAACTACTGCCTTACGTTTACCGGTGGGCAAGTTTTTTTTCAATTTTATTTCTTGAATACTTTTTGGTTGGTTATTGAGGGGTTTTCGGTTATTTAACTTGGTGGAATCGACGGAACGATAATAATTATTTTTATTTCTATCGCATGTTTGTTACGATTCGTCGGTCAGATCAATTATCTTCTTGTTTCATTGAAATTATTTTATTCACTTCTAAAATAATTATGTGTATGTAATAATTATATAAAATTTTGTTGATAGTGCACATTATACCCAGCAATAACGTCAATAATGATTGTATAAATAAATAATTGTGTGAATTAAGAGGTGGGCAAGTTTGCCGAGATCAGCGAGTATGTGCCCGACAGTCAGACGCAACAGTGGAAGATTGGTTCGTTTTCATACATTCCTTTCTTTCATTTATCCGTTTCCTATCAATTTTTTAAACGAAGATTTGCGTTACAAAGGTTGCCTGTCAATTCGCCTCTAAACTAAAAATATCACTATTCCCGCTATTGTACACAGCTGTTGTTGTGCTCGTTTGTCGTCCTGATGTTAAAAATTATGTTTGAAAGGATATTATTTACAAAGTCATAAGTGATCATTGAATCTCAAGTAAAGTGCTCAGAGTTGCAAGGCAAGCTCTAACATAAAATTTGAAGTTACTCGTGCACAAGCATGGAACACTTCGTCTGCTCTTATGATGATATCTAACAAAAACTGCTCTTTTTTCGCGCCAGAGCTAAATGTAATATTCATGCTCCTAGAACTGAAATAAGTGAGCAAATAAAACAGGAACTTATTGCTCAATAGGTAACGGGTACGTAGTGCACAGAAGCGATCCAAACAAAGTCTTGGATGCCAACGTACCATTAAACTGCGGGACCAAGTTGTGTGTGTCAAAGAATGACGGTAGCAATAAATGGAAAGCCGTTTAGTGAGTTAATGATTTATTTTTAAATAAAACCTGTAAATGATATATGGTTCAAAAATTAATTCTACAGCTTAAAACCAAAAGTGTTTTACATCTTGAGTCAACTGAATAAAAAAGCGGTGGAAGTCTATCAATCGAACGAAGAACCAGGTGCCAAAATCATAATGTGGAGTCAGAAGCCAAAAAATGAGAACCCAACCAACCAGCTTTGGTACGAAGACAAACAGGGCAACGTCAGATCAGCGTTGAACAATTTCGTTTTCGATGCATCAGTGCCAGGAGGCTAGTGCCAACAAAATATTTCATTATAAATATGCTATCAACTGCTTATCTGTGCGTGACGTATATATAAATTGTTTGTTACACGGCTGAATAAATAATATTCGGCGGCTTAAATAGATATTCTGTAATCGTTGTGATGGGCCAAATGGCATAAACCTAACACATGAATCTAGCTCATAATTAGATGATTGATTGATAATGTTTCATTCAAATTAGATGTAACAATGCAGCCGTACGAAGAAACGAACGTGAAGAAACACTGGATCATATACGGACACGTTATTTGCAACCGCCACAACAAGAAACTTGTGCTGGACATCACAAACAGCGATTCGGATGACGCCGCCCCAGTTGGGGTTTGGGAGTACAATGGAGCGAAAAATCAGGCTTGGTGGATCCATTTCATTAATTAAATGTACGCCGTTGAGAAATCAAAGTATCGAAATCGCCGATAACATCAATCTGTCTCAGTTTTACTTCATGTATACAACTTTTAATGTATGTAAAGGTGAACAATAATGAACAATTGTTTTATTAATTATTTTATCTACCCCATGTAAAAAAATTTAACGCTTTCTATTTTTAAATTAAAAAAGTTTGTCGGTTCTTCATTGACATATACATACAAAAATAAATGTTCGCTGTTCTAAAATGTTGAGGAAGAAAATAAAACTTAACAACTGTTACAAACGTGTTTATATATCCAATTCTTGAGATGATTTTCGAAGTCAGTTAAATTAATTTGGCAGGTTGATGAAACTGCTCGGAAGAACTTGAGTAACAGGACAACTAAGTCATCATAACGTGGCAAATTCTGAAAATATAAAAAAATTTAATACAAATTTTAAATCAAAACTCTTACAAATTAAATTAAAAAAGATTAAATGAGTTAACTTACGTTGTATAAATCTGAAAACTCCGATAGTTGAGCGTTGCATTTTTCAAGTTCACCAGCGAGATTTACAACATTAGGAGCACTCTCCAACTCATCATCAATCATCTTCCTCCTCAAACTTTTAATGACTTCTTCAAACTTCGTGATGTCATCATCATCATCATCTTCACCTGATTTTTTCCAGCCATTTATTCCCTCGCTCTGTTTGGAAGTGTCATCGTTTGTTGGAACTAACGACCATACATGCAGACCGCCTGGAGAAACATTTTCAACTTCCTTCTTGAACAAATCCTGCCTACTGCTCCTGTTTTGAGCAATTAACTCCTTACAGCATTCGTTTATCCGTGCAATTTTCTTAGCCAAATATTCCATTTTGGCTGCTTTTTTGTTGAGCACTTGCCTACTCAGCGTTTCGAAAACTTTTCCAGTTTTGTCAGCTGACGGTTTCGCGGAAATATCATTCAAAATCTTAGAGAAAGACTCAACGATGTTGCGAATGAAAGTGATGTTTATACACTCCTCCAGGCTCATGCCAACTGCATCACTGTCCTCCCCATCATCAACTTCGTTCATTCCATCCAGATGTTTGCTGCCGAGTTTCATTATCTCGTTGAAACTTTCCACAAATTCGTGGAGTTGAAGAGATTGGTGGTGACTTTCGTGCCTGCAAAATGATCCGTATGCAAATTGGATCAGTGCTTCCACGTCATGAGAACCTGAGTGATAGAAAAAATCGTTTTAAAACTTATAATAATTAACAACTATTATTTCCTAAATTATCAAATTAATTAATTAATTAATTAATAGAGATTTTATAAACAGACAGAAGAAGTGAGGCAACCTTGTGAGATATACAGACACACAAATATGACCACCATATCGAGGTCAGATGACGTCACATTAGAACAATCAATATTTACATCATTACTGCTACCATGGCTGACCATGCTCTTCAAACCACCAACTCTATCACCCCCACCCCCACCACCACCATCATCAGCATCCTTATCACCATCATTTTTGTCATTGTCGTGTTTATTAACATTATTGTACATGTTATCACCGATTATTTTGATATTCGTGCTAAAATTTCTGACATCATCATTATCGTTATTATTATTATTATCACTGGTAGCAGCAGCAGCCGTAGTAGTAGAAATATTAACATGAGAATTTTCCACTAGCAGGCATGATTTGTACTTTGCAAAGGCAACAGAGAATATCAAGCTAATCTCAATGACAATCTGTATCAATGATAGCGACACACAAATATTTAGCTAAATTCAAAATTATTACTGCAACAACAACAACAACAAAAACAACAAAATGATAACAATAACAAAACGATAGCAACAATAAGAAAGAAAATAACGATATTAACATTATTAACAACATTAAGCACAACCACAACAACAAAAATAACAATAAAAACAATACTAATATGTAATAGCAACAATAACAACCAAACCAACAACAACAACAAACAACAACAAAAATAATAATAAGAATAAAAACTTGTTGTAGGGCAGTTCTAAACTGCCTGCTCTTGTACGTGTGCATGAGGTCACTTTGCAGCTCCCCACAACGTAAACCATCATCTGCTAGGGGTAGAATTTTTAAAAATATGAAGCAATTATTTATTTATATATTTAATAATTTAATAAATAAATGAACAAATAGATAAAAAAAATAAATGAATGAACAAACGGATAGATAAAAGAGTAAATAGATGAATAAACAAACATTTCATTAAATGAATAATTAATTAATTAATTAATTATCAATTTTAATTAATTATCATTGACGTTGTTAGTTAATTGAGCATTTCTACAACCCAAATTAATGTCAGAGGAAGTTTTTAATCTGTGCAGAACATCGTCAAGGAAAGATTCATTAGGAGTCTCTGTGTGGTTTGTTTCATCTGGTGGAAGGTCAACTATCATTCATTCATTCGTTCCTTCATTTATTTTTTTTTCATTCATTTCATCATTCGTCCATTTTTATACACACGTTCATGCAATCACACATACACGTTCATTTTGTAATTCATTCATAATAACAAATTCTAAACACATGTTAATAGCACTGAACCACATAGCAACTGAGAATGTCACAAAGTACCACAAATCACACCGTAACGATGTCACATGTGACGAAATACCTGGTGGAAAGCTCCTCCCACTATTAGAATTGATTGACATGTTGATTGACGTGTTGATTGAAGCTGGAAGGATATATTTCAATCTTCTGGTTACACATTCATGACAAATTGATAGCAGCCTCAGGTGCTATGAATGAAGAATGATACTAGTATCAACATGATTACTGTATCACTATTGTCAGGAATAATACAATTAATTATAAAAAACAAATTAATAATACTTGAAATTCCTCAATCTCGTTCAAAAACGCGTCTACACTCGACCAATCACAGTTGAGCAGCCTTTCGATGACATAACTTTCAGCACTTGACCTTGACACTTCTGCATTATTGGTCGCTTGAGCTACGAGGGCCGATACACGTGATGTCTGTGGATCTTTTCTTCTCACGATCTCTTCTAAAGCCTTCGCGTCATTGTTCGTTGCTAGGTAGCTGTGGGGAGATGTGGATGGTTGGAGTGGCTGGTTGGATGGTTGGTTGGAGTGCTGATCAGTTGGGCTTGGATTGCATGTAGGTAGGTTAGGCATTATTTAGATTCATTATTAAACATTTTATGATATAAACGTGGAATAAATTCGAAGTCCAATTAATGAAAAACGTAAAAAACAAACAAAAAAACTATGAGACTAAACTACATAGAAGTGAAACTATGAGACTAAACTACATAGGAATGAAACTATGAGACTAAACTACATAGGAGTGAATGAATGTAGTCAGGACTTAAAAAATTTGAGAACTAAAACAAAAACCTAAACTTAGAGATCATTTAAAAAAACACCCAACAATAAAAATCTGACCATTTGGCTGCCATCTCATAGTAACCAATCTTATCGGCTGCCTCAGCAGATTTATTGAAGACCAGCTGCAGAAGTGGGTCACAGCTGGGCAGGCGTAACCGAGCCAAGCAGAGTGCATCCCTGCGATTGGTTGTTGGAATACAAGTGAGTGAGTGAGTGAGTGAGTGAGAGAGTGAATGAGTCAACTTAAGTGAGTAACTAACTAGTGAGATATATCGACATCGTAGTGATGAAGAAACAGAAAAAAGATGAAATTAAATTGACAAACTTGTATAACTTATTGTCCAGTAAGAGTTCAAGTGCTTCTTCAACCCGATCAATAGCGAGCAGGTAGGTTGTGGCTTTGTGAATTTGCCCCTCCCTCTTCAACTGATTGGCGTAGGATAAGCATAACTCCGCCCACAACTCTTTGGATACTTCAAAATAAAAAGTTGGTCGCAAAAGTTTCAAGTGAAAAATCACATCTCTTTCATTTCTTTATAACCTCTAGGAAAATGAAAAGACTAATCATTGGAAAAAAACTAACTTCATCATCACCATCAACACCTTATTCATAATCTTAACACTTTAATTCATCATCATCATCATCACCAACACCACCCTCACCAGGACGAACCCATGGCAGCAGTGGCAAGCATGTGATCATTCAACTCTCCCTTCCTCATCATCTCTCTGAAATAAACCCCTCCCCTCCCTGCATAGATCTCCAAAGTCGTGCGACCATCTTCATTCTTGTTCTGAATGTGCTGTTCAACTGCTCGTTGGACGTGATGCGATGCAGTGATGGGTGTTGGGGGTGGTGGTGGGTCGACAGATTGAGAATTGAAATAGAACAGATTGATGGATGAAAAGAATGATTGCAGAAATGAATGAATATAATACCAAATTCTAAATAATTCATGACCATACACTTACAACCAACGACAGACAGACACACACACATAGACCCACACACACATAAACACACACTCATAAATAGATACACACATACACATACTTTCGTTATCCAGCAACTTGCACATGCTCCTCCGATTGATGTAGCAGTCAAAATATAATGAAGACGACACATCATCGTCATTCTTTCCACCACCACCACCACCACCACCACTACCATCATCTTCATAATCATCATCAAAATCTTCATAATAATCATCATCATAATAATCCTCCATTTTGCCATCACAATCTTCATAATCATAAGAGGAAAATGCTGTAATCTGCTTTTCTGCAAAACAATGATTGAAATTAAATAAGATAAGTGTAGAGTTATTTCATCCTCTATAAAGTTGTGCTACCAAGTCTCATGTATCATTGAAAATTATCAGTGAGACAACTCTGACAAAAATCTCCGACTGATACTTTGAAACTTAATGCAACCATTGCATCACATGGTATCTAAATCATCAGTTACATTAATAAAAATGACTTTCACGGCCAAACTGACTTGCCGCCTGAATGCGCGCCAACTTCACACACTCCTCCTGGATGAGTCGACTTTGGTGTTCGTGCGTACCCCAGTTGGGAAGAATCGATCTAACCTTCTTTTTATAACCTTTAACAATTAAACGTCATTACACACAAACACTCACGTGAACACACAGACACACACACACACACACACAGACAAACACATACACACACGCGAACACACACACACCACACATACACGTAAATATAATAACCAAGTCAAGAAAATTACAAAAATTTTTCACAAACTTTTTTTATTTGGAAGCTGGTAGGCTGATGCCGAAGCCAAATTCTCCTATTTAAATTAAAGTTCACTTTTAAATATTGATTAAAACAAATAAAATTTTTAAGAAATATAAAATAAAAATAATAAAAAAAAATAAAAACCTGCGATTGCTTATCCAGAGATGCTTTATTCACATTATCACCATCTTCGTCATCATCATCATCTCCTACATCATGAATGATGACGTCACTAACATCTTTATTCAACACACCCACATCAACGTCACGAATACTAGATGTGGCAGAAGCAGTAGCTACAGTAGCACTAGTAGTACTTTTACCGTATGTTAGATCCTTGGAAGATGATGAATGTACATTACCAGTGTGATCAGCATCATCATTGAGATCAAAATTTTTAATTAGAGTGTCCTTTGTCATATCTTCAGTAGATGAAACATCTGGGCCTTCATTCCTCAATGTCTCACAAGTTTCTTTTCGATTGTATTTGGATGAGAACTCTAGAACAAAAATAAATAATTATTTCAAGAACAATGGCTGTTTGATTCATTCGTCAGAGTGGCTATCATTTTTATCAAACCACAGTATTCAATCCAGTCACTACCAAAGACTTTTTAAAAAATTCACCAGAATGCTGACTAATAAACCAACCAAAACAATAATTTAACAACAATCGATCAATCAAGGACCCGCCAAGAACAATCAACCAACCAACCAGCCAACAAACCGACCGACTCACCGACCAACCAACCAACCAACCAACCCACCTTTTTTAACATAAACATGCTGAGACAACTTATCGATCATCCAGCCCTGCAACGTGAAATCTTCTCCCCCACTGAAGACCAGCCCCTCGTCCTCCAGCCCCCACTCCACACTGCTCACGTGACCTCGATGACCTTTGAACATCTCAACACTTTTGTTGCTCTTCAACATATCCCAGATCTTTATTACAGACGTTGATGAAGTTCAACCAATGAAAAACCAAAATAGAAAAATTGCCACTTTTACATTTTATATTCCACCACTAGGCAAGCAATAACAAAGTGGATATTAATGTGTGACCAACTTGAACAGTCTTATCAAAGGATGTAGTGACCAGCTGACCTTCTCTGTGAGGTGACCAGGCCAGGAGACGAATCTTTCTTGTATGTCCTTGCAAGCAAGCAGAAGTCATCCAAATTTATTATCATTATAGATGTAATTGACCAGCAACAACAAGTAAACAAGGAAATGCATGAGAATAAATGGATTTTATATGATGAATACTTTGAGAATTATTTTGGAACATTTGAAAAGTCTTTATTAAGAATGATATATCAATAGGAATGAGAATTGCACAGAACAGCTGTTGCAGTGACCTGATTCAATTGCAAACAGACAGCTTATCACATGCACTGTGTGTGTGTGTGTGTGTTGTGTGTGTATGTGTGTGTGTGTGTGATACATTGTTTCATGCGTATTAAGATTCACATGCACTGTGTGTTTATCGAGGAGAGAAATGTAATAAATATATAAATAAATCATTATTTGCGAGAACTGCAACGTGCAACTCTCAATAGTAAAATAAATAAACTGAGAAATAATTATTAAAAGATGGGTAAATTGATAACATAGTAATTATATTCAACCGAAAAGACCATGTAAACACTTTGATTGAACCACCAATCAGGCAACTGACTGATAAGCCAGCCAGCCAGTCAACCACTGATAGCCAAACAATCATCCAACAAGCCTATCAGACAGCCAACCAACCAATCACCTTTTAACGTCATGAAACAATCTTGAATTTTTGTGACAGTTCTTTCTTCGGTCCGACTTGATGTCCAACCATCTTGGATGACAATTTGGTGATCGGATGATTGATGGGATTGGTGAATGAGTGATTGGAAAAATTACTGATTAAGCAATTGATTGAAAATTTTTATAAATTGTTAAGATAAACATAACCATAACCTCGTTGAAAGAGTTGAAATTAAACTGATCAAACATTTTCATCAACCAGTCAATTAACAAACAGATCAACACTTCTAAACTACTTGACAAACCAATCAACCATTCAATCAACCATTCAATCAACCATCCAATCAACCATTCAATCAACCATTCAATCAATCAACCAAATGACCAACCAATAACATTTTTCAAGTTGTACACGCAAACGTCTGAAACACTCGCACAGACCGCCAGATGATGACGCATGCGTGACGTCAGTGATGACGTCATCATGACGTCGGGATGCCAGGACAAGTCCGTCACGGGTTTTTTGCAGTGGTGGACGGAGCAGATGAGAGTAGGAGGATTCAGTGGGCAGCGACAGTCGTACACCTCAATAACCCTGCAAGGGTCAAATTTCAAAAGCATAACAAGTAGAGATATAACATGCCTTTTTTTTAACACCAATGTGTTTTTACACCAACCAGTTAAAGACCAAAGAAACCCAAAAACTTAAAACATGACAATTAAAAATGAAAATATTTATAATAATATTGCACAAGATAACTCTGGCTCTCCAGCACGGAGGGACATCTAGCAACACGAATGGCAAACTAATGGTTATGGCCAGCACACTAATATTGGAGCTGCAACACAAACACTCTCAATAAACTGACCACTTAAAAATAATATATGAGCATAAAAAATTAACCCAGAAATATATCCGAGAGCAAAATATTTGAAATCCTGTGTGAATGAAATTTTCGTCTTTGTCCCTATTCCGCCAGCACCAACGACATCCCCCTCACCCTGACAACCACCAGCACTACGGTGGTCTCCAATGATGATGTCAATGTCCACCGCTTCTTCCTGACCAAGTGGAATGGAGTGTTGATGGATGTGATGGTCACCGACACTGAAGATGGCATGTCCATCAGCTGCGTCACGCAATCACATCATCACACAATCACATCATCAGTTGCTATTTGTCACTACGTTACATTATACGTCAATCAACGTCTTCAATTTCATTCAGAATGAACATATAAAATCTAAACTAAAAATATCAGAGAAAATTATTCAACAAATATTCATACCCGAACTGAGAACATCGCCCCCATCACAGTCATTTTGACTTTGGTTATTATTATTATTAATTTTTACATTCCGTGGAGTGAATAGTGGGCCCCAGTTAAGCCAGCGTACGACGTCATTGTGATGGGTTCTTGAGAAGGTAACTGGACTGTAGATTCAGTATGTGAGTGTGCGTGTGTGTGTATTTGTGTGTGTGTGTGTGCATGTTTATTAAAAATGAGACTCTGTGTGTGTGTGTGCATGTGTGTGTGCGCGCCTCCCTGGAGAGGTGCCATGTGCAAGTACATATGGATAGCGACTAATATTTCTGTGAACTCAGCTTCCTATAAAATTATCCCTTTGCCCTTCACTTATCAGACCATTCATCAATTTATTCACCCATCAAATAATCTCATTCAAATGACAACCAACGTCTTGGCATTGGCGGCTGTGTTGACGAGTCCCACCATTCCATCTTCCGTTCCAAATGCCAACAAGTTGTCACTAGTTGGATGCCAACGTACCTGAAGTTGTTGTTGTTGTTTAAATTGTGATTGATATCATGTCTTTGTTGTTTGTATGCTTGTTTTGTTTGCAAACATTTTGGCGTTGTTGTCGTAACTTTTCACATTATTTAATTTCATTTATAGCTCAAAATATAATTATTTAATCTGACCGCTGTGACTTTTGATTTCATGAACTGCCAGAAAGTTCTATTGTTGGTGCACTTGCCGTTGTTCAATGTCATTGTTTGAATTGTGTTGTCACCCACCCCAAGTGCAAAAAGACCTTTTGAAAAAGTGACCATCTGATTGGTTAAGTTAACTGACCAATGAACATTCAACTAACCAGGTTCGATGGGTGATTGGTTGATAGAATAGACAAAGCCACCAATAGTGGGTAACGTTCTTTCAACTTGATTTTCTTTCACATTCCATACTATGAGCTTATAAAATAGAATGATTTGTAGAGCACGTTAAACACTAAAAATCTGATTTCAATTTTTGCCATCCCATTGTAAAGTTATTTATTACTTATCTAAAAAGTCAACCAGCCAACTTGTCAACCAACGTGAACAACCAGCCAGTTCAAAAAAAACCAATCAATCAACCAATCAATCAAAAATTAATCAATAACTAATCGTCTAACCAGTCAACTGCTGATCAACCAACCAAAATGACTGACTGACTAAACAGCCAACCAAACTGACCAACCATCCTACCAGCCACCCAACTAACCTGCCTATCCATCGAGTAGCTGCAAACCATGACATCATCAAAGCCCTCACCCATTGACCCTGACCTCCTCCTCCACGACACTACATTGAAAATAACCAGACTGTGACCTTTCAGATTTCTCACCAGAGGTTGAAGTTTAAGTTTCGCGGCAGTCAAGTTGATTGTATACAGCTCGCTGGTGCAATAATATTCCACTTAATGAAATTGTAACACTAATTTTTTATTTATTGTGGAAAATTAAACTAATTAAATCAACAGAACTTTTTTTAAATGTTATGCCCTGAACTAACTTTGCAGATGATACTATCATTTGGCTGTCTGAATCTGGAATACTGCTCAAACTAAACCACCTCTGCCCAGAAATTTTTTTTTAATTTTCATTTTTTAGTTGATTAACGCACAGAAAGGTGAAAATAATTAATATAACATTTTATAGATTTCAACAGCTTGCCTTATAATAGCTAATATGAGATTTGTAGATAAACCTCTGATTTCTTTTTGAACAAACTGACAGTAGAAACATCCCAATTATTTTGTCTTTGTTTCTTCAGTGTCCATAATTTCAATGTTTTGTCTCTGCAGACTGACACCAATCTAGAAACAACGTCATCTTTATCCTGATCTAGGAAAAATATTTACCAACATATTTATATAATTTTAAAAATTTAATAAAAGTTATCAGTTATTTAGTTATTATTTATTTATTATTATTATTATTAATATTAGTCATTAGTTATTTATTAAATAAAATAATTTTCAAGTTGAACTGGTATAAATGAAGAAGTATGTGAGAAGAAGGTATAACCAATCAGAAACAGACCTTGATGGCATCTGAGCCAATGCAAGGACTGCACATTTTCTTCGTGACCTCTCAACTTGTACAGCACCTCCACTTTCTTGTCAACCAGTTCAAGAATCAATATAATCCCTACTTTCAGTCTAGCAAAAATAAAATTATTTTAATCAATCAATCAATCAATCAATCAATCAATCAATCAATCTCTAATTTTAGTATAAATTTATTATTATATTCATGAATAAATTTTATTATAATTTTTTAAACATTCTGGCAACTGCTGCTGCTTACCCAACTGCAACTTCATTATGTTTAGAAGTGGAAACAGACAGAGAATTAATGTAATTGTCAGAATGTTGACAGGTGTACCATACTTTTACATCTTTGCTCATATCCCAGAAGCACACAGAACCTTTGTCATCACCACTGACTATCATATTTTCATTTAATGGGCTCCATTGCACAACTGTTACCTTATTCTTTGGTTAATAAAAATTTAACACAATAAAAAATACTTACTTTAATTTTAATATATATTATATATATATAAGTAAATAAAATTTTGACTAATTTTGACCATTTTATTTATTTATTCATAATTTTTTCACAAAGCAAATAAAAATAAATAATAAAAACTGTGAAAACAGCAATTTAAAAAAATCAAACGAACCCTATGTGAATCATTTTCAGACTCTGTAGTGCATTTAAAAGTCTTTAAATTGAATCTTGTGACAAAAAGTTTATCACCACTAGTACTAACAACTGCCCGCTCATCACCATCATATCTTCCGTCTGCACTAGCAAAAGAAACTCCGGCAACTTTATCATTGTGATGAACGACAGGGAACGGATAAAGCCTGACATTAGAGTGCCTTAAATCCCAGACGTTGACAGAGGATCGGGATCCGAAACAGATGAGGCCGTCACTGCTTGAGTCCATCACACGACTGTAGTACCAGGAGGGAGTGGCAGGCAACATGTACTTCAGGGCACTCATCTTTTTTATAGCTTTACTTCAGGATCAGACTTAAACTTTAGTTTTGTTTTTATTTAGACTTTTAGTAGAGATTAGTGAATTAGTCATTAGTTTTACGTTTACTAAACTAAAATTATTTTACTATTTCAATTTTACTCTTTTTGGTTTTCATGTAGAAGATGGTTTTTTAAATTAGTATTAGTTTGAGCAAACTTGAAACAAACTTAAAAAACATTTAAAATTTTTTAAACTGATTGAAAATAATTCCTGAACATTTCCTAAAAAAACCATACCCGAACTCTAGCTTACACTCGCCGATCAAAAGTGAATCGCAGTTGAAGCACAGACTTTCCAGTTTTTAGTGTCGTACCGACTATGGATATATTTTTGTTATGCAATTTTTTATCCATGGATGTCGTCGTTCCCATTAGTTACTGCTTTGCGTTAAAAACCTCTTATCTCTATATATCTAAGATTATGAAGTAATATTAAGTTGATATAATACTTTAAATGGTAGATTACAAATTAAGTATTTGGGATGATAGGGAGTTGAAGCTTTTGAAACAGCATGAAGAATTGTATAGTAAATTTGATTGAATAGTTAAATAATTTTTTAAATTTATAAAAAAATAATATTATAAACAATAAAATTGCAATAAAATAAGTATTTATTTATTATTCTATATAAACGTCTATGTCTGTGTATATTATATTTGATTATGCTTTATATCCATAATGAACAATTTGGTTTAACATATTATTTTCACATAAAAACTAAAAAGTTTGTATAAAATGTTGCATGCATAAAATAAATTAATAAATGTCTTTAAAAGAATAGAGCAGAGGAGAGCATTGCTAAAAGGGTCAGAATGTTTTTTCAATTTCGGAACGAAAAACGTCACAACGTTTTTGTGGAACATGAGAATGGCTAATGAAAGAAACGGAAAACTAGTAGAAGTAATGCTTTTGAGGAGATAATGTTGTTAGAGATAACGATCTTATATCAATCCAACCGCGCTTTTCATTTCTTGACTTACCATTATTAGTGAAATTGAATTCGAATAGTCGCTTAATTAAATAAAAATCTGAAACTAAACCTCAACCTAGAGACTCAGATCATGGGATGAAAAACTGAACGTCGGTACACAAAGCAATGATATCAACTCACAATTCTCCTTTCTCAAAGTTTGTTGATTTTTTATAGAATAGAATCCCAATTACACAGCAAAGGATAATGCATGAACTTTGGTTTTAAATTAATATTTTTTTTTAACAATCCAGACGAATTACTGGACGACAGTTACAAAGATTTTTCCATTATGGCATGAGGAATGGTTAGAATATGTGCGTAACAGCAAGAATACAAATGCAAACCATGCAAGTTTTGCAAGATCAAAAAACGTTGTGAGTAACAAAGCCCAGAACTCAAAAGAAGAGAGCAAGATCAGACCGCAGATGAGAAGAAACCTAAGATACACGTTAACTAAAAATGTAGTAGAACAGACTTCAGAAAACAAAAATAACCCAAATTCAAATAATCAACAAACATTCATTACTGAACAAGCAGAGATCTCTAAACTAAGATTGACAAAAATAGATCGAAAAGAACCAAACAGCCAGAAAATGTCTGTCACAAAATCGGACGTAAACAAAAATCAATGTAAATCTGCTTCAAAAGAACATGCAAATGTTCACACATTGAACAATGCCATCAAGAAGGGTGACTCTAAACTCCAATCTACAAAAGTGTTCACGAAAACCGTTCTGAGCGGGGTATATTCAGACAAAAGAAGCACAACAGACTTGTCAAGCACATCAAAAGCAACTAAGAAAAAAGAGATAAGGTTTAACGTATGAACCATTCCACTATAATAAAACAATTAAAGCACGTTTGATAAACCACCCTACTTAACATGCGTACTCGTCATTCATTTTCTTAACATTCTTTCATTTAGCTATTCAAAAGTTATTAATATATTTACTCAAATACAAGACTGAAAGCAATTTCACGTTTTTATTATAAAAATAAAATGCCACAAACTTCTTGACAATGAAATAATTGGAAGTTACTTGAATGAATCAATCCAATAAAATACCAATAAAACATCATTTCAGCACACATAAAATCACTAGCCCCTATCATCAAAATGCCAGTGGACAGTTAGTTTTACATTATAAACAAATAACCTACGCATTCATACTTATGCATACAATTGCACGCATGTATACATACGTGATGAACAACATAAAATTAAGTTGCATGTTTCACTTAAACAATTTTTAAAATTTATAGCAATGGAAGAATGTCCCACAGAATAAAAAAAAATTAATTAGGATATAACAAACTATGTCAAAATGTAAAATTATAAAATAACAAAAATGTACAGAGTATTTAATATCACCATCCACACTCTAGTACGTATTTCATTATATTAGTGATTTATGTACGGTGCAACAGGCCTGAACATCATTTTATAACACCAAAGACTCAGCATCTCATCAGTGACACTTTAAACATCAAAGTAAGAACGAACCAAGTGTTAAAAACATGAAGTGCAGCGATATTTTTAATTACAACACACCAAAGCAGTCACTCACAAATTCAAAACAAATCAAGCAGAGCACACCTCACCACACCATGCACACATACAGTTAGTCTAGCAAATTTACATGGAGTAACTGTTGGCAGCGTACCCACCGGAGCCGGTAGTGTAACTGTTGGTGTTCTTGCTGGCAGCATATGACATTCCATTAGATTCACGAGTCTGATGATATCCTCCTTGGCCATTAGATGCACCACCCATAGACATCCAGCCGCTTTGTGCCAGTGCAGCTTGTGTAGCAGCAATGACAGCTTGATTGAATGCTGGACCAAACTGCATTGCTGCTAGATCAGCTGCTGCATGTGGCACCAAGTTCGCCCCCTGCATTGATTTGTCAGTAGATCCAGAATAGCTCCAACCAGAATTCCTGTGATCACCACCACCTAATTTTGAAACCCAAGATCCTTTTTTGTCATACCCATATCCTTTTGGTGCAGCACTACTACAACGAACACTGTTGCCCTTGATAATGAAGTCTTCCCCACAAAGATTCTGGGCAACATCAGGATCTGAGAAGGTAACAAAAGCAAATGCTCTGAATGGTTTCGGTATGAAAACATCCACAACTTCTCCATACGAAGAGAAAAATTCCCGAATGTCATCAGTTGACATATCTTCCGTGCAACGACCGACAAACAGTTTTCTGCTTATCGGAGAATCAGAATCATCCATCTAAAAAGAAAAATTATATATTATTGAGACAAATTTACATGGAAATAGGTTAAAGGGAAACAGTAGATGAAATAGACATGTTGAAACAAAATAAAGAAACCTTAGAGGAAGGAATTTTAACATCGCACCATCGTCCATCTATCAAATGTCTTTGGCTCAAACACTGCCTTTGAGATTCATAATCTGCAAACCTGATGAACCCGAAACCTTTTGATTGGCCAGACTTCGGATCTTTTTTAACCTAATCAAAACAGAGGACAATCGTCAATTCAGTTAAACATGATGATAAACATATTTAAAATAAAAACTTCTGTAAAAAAAGTTTCAGTTGCACAGCATGCTCTCCTAATATTTAAACATTCAATGCCAAACAATTTCTCTGCACCCACTCTGATTTTTTTTACACAAAATAATGTGATAAAATTAATTTAAACTGTTTTAAACACCTTTCACCCGCAAATAATCATTCTTAATTTAAACGTGCACTCTCTGATTTGTACAAAACACTTATTCCTTAATTTTAGGCACTCGCTACTTCAGTCACACAAGTATACGGTGACTAAAAGTACCTTGCATAACTGTAAACATCCTTTTGTTCTGATTCATTTCTTAAAAAACCTTACCGTTAATTGATTTGGATCAATTTCCTATTAAGACTTTTGATAAGACTTTAACGCTAAGATGGACAAATTTATAAATTATGCATTTATAAAAAAACTTTACGAACAAATCAACTTAAATAAAATAATAGCAAAATTCTGATTTTTAATTGAATGTTAACAAATCTAAGTGCCTTACTTGAACCATCAACAACTCTCCATATTTCGTGAAGTAATTGGTTAAATCCTCTTCCGTACTTTTCCAGGGCAGACCAAGTACAATAAGGTCAGAACACTTCAGTCTATCAACTTTTTTCGTTTTGGCTTGAGGTTTTTCACTGCTTTCATCACTCTTTCTTTTATAATCTATCAAAACAAAATAAAAAATATTTGTAATCTAATGCAATAATTGCAGTGACCAAAAAAAGACATAGAAGCATAATTTTAATAAACTGTAAATAAACAAAGACAAAACTGACCAGCATTTTCTTTAGGATACACAACAATGTAACGAGATGAAGACCAGACGCCATCTGGTGGATACAAATCACCATCAACAAGTCGAACACCTCGCATGGCTCCCGTTCCAGGATTTCGATATTTCAATCCGCAGGCTCCTGGAAACTGGGCAGACAACGTGCTCAAGAGAAGGTTGCCGTTCATTTCTAACGGTACCTCAATGAGTTCTTCCATTTCATCCTCAGCTACGCAAACGTACTGGTTCATGTTATTCATTGAATTCATTGAACTGCTGTAAGTGTTGTAATCGATAGCTGAGTCCATATAACGAGGTATTTCTTGACGGAAGTACGGTATCAAAAATGCGGAAAACGTCAAAGATGGCGACAAAGAAACAATGAAAACGGAAACGGCTTCAACACAATTATTGTTCTAGCACTTTGTTGAACAAAAACTATTTTGTTCAATTCATTCATTTTTTTTAAGTTTACTAAAATGTATTTAATATTAAATTTTTGTTTATTTAAAATTAAATTAATAATTAAATATAATTTTGGTATTCAACTTTTAAAAATTAGCCTACTAGTTATACCTTTTTTTCTGTTTAATTTCATTAATTTAAAAGTGACACTGCTGTGCATTTTGTTTTGCTGGAAAAAATAATGGAGGATACGGTAAAATTGAAATCTCTCTTGGCTGAATTTATATTGAATTCGTGTGGAAATACATTCAAGTATTCAGATGAGCTCAATGTCCAGTGCTTGATCGGCGTAACTGTTGACAACAAAAATGTTTTTCTTATAAATATCAATGAATCTAATTCTAAATGTAACTTAAATAATAATAACAATAATAACATAAATAATAATAATAGTTTGTTAGTCAACATCAACGCGACTAACTCGTCTTGCACGAGCAACACCAAGTCTGATCAGGCATTACCAAAAGTTGTATCAGAACGAAGACACACAGAATGTGTGGCTATTGATCATGATGGTGGTGGTTATGCAGAAGTCCAGAAGTGCATGAAGATTGTGCAACATCCCACCGGACTGGTCGAGCAAAAGGAAGTTCAGTGGAAAACATACTCGGTTGACGGAAAGTTGTTGGAAGAAAAAAAAGTTGAGGAGATCCAGCCAGTTGATGAAACGCAAACAATTCCTGGAAATGATGCTGAGACAGAGGAATACATGCCTAATGATGCTGCAAATTATGATCAGGAACAAAATTACAATGAATATTATGAAGAGTACACCGAGGATCAGTTATACGATGCTGTCAATGATAATCAATATTATTATCCATATGGCGAACAACAACAGTTGCAGCAACAGCAGCAGATGTTTTGTGGTCCAACTGGTGCTGGAGGTAAGGGTGGAACATTGAAAAGAGGCAGAGGAAGAGGACAGCACTCAAATGTTACCAATAAACAAAAGGTAATTCTTTTTTTAAGTTCAATAGCATGTAAAATAAAATCAAGGTAAAAGATATTTATAAATTATTCAAAATTATTTATTTAAACTATTGTGATATGTAGATACAGCAGCAAAGCATGGCACAGAAGCAACATCAACAACATTCAAGTGGTCAGCCCCCTTTCAAAAAGTTCCATGGAGCCAACAGCAAGCAGAATCTTCAGATGAGAAACTATCAGCAAACCAAACAGACTAATGCTACACGAAAACAATCTCAGCAATTTCAACAGCAGCAGCAACAGTCTCATTTTCAACAGACATCCACTTTTACACATCCTCAACAACAATTTCATCCACGACAACAACAACAAAGAAAACCAGCACCACAGCAAACTTTTCAGAACTCTCCAAGGTTTCAGCAACAGCATCACCAACAACAATTCCATCTACAACAACAGTCTTCCAAATTAAACCAACAACAACATCAACAGCAAATGAAACCTCCACGAGTGCGAAAAGTAACATATAAGCAGAACCCAACACTTGTAAACAAAGCAGTAAAAATGGTGCATGAAGGAGCAATAACAATAAAAGATGCTCTGAAAAAATTTAATCTATCAAGGGTCGACTTTTCAAAATGTTTGAAGATGAGTTCATCTGCAAACGATGCTGAGGAGGAGGAGGAGGCAGAGGAGGTTGCGGAAGATGAAGAAGAAGAATGGGATGAAGAGGGCAATGACATGAGCAATTATGAAGAATATTAATAAAGGAACTGTTGCAAAACATAACGTTACACTCGTTTAATCTTTTTTTATTGTTTAAATGAAAAATTTTAAAAATAATTTTTAGAATGTTGTTTTGATATTGTTAATTTTTGACAGGCTGAATGAGTGTAAATGAATAAGAAGCCATATGAGAGATATGTGTTTTGAGTATATATCACTAGCATGTTACCTGTACTACTTTATGTTTTAATTTTCTCCTAAATATTTGTTATACATTGAATTTTAAAAGAAAAAATAGAGGAATGTTTTCAAAGATTTTGTTTTGGAATGATTTTAAAATAAGATATAAGGCACAACACAAACGTAATCAATTTTGTTCCATTCGTTCAATTAAATATTGTTCATGCTTACATGAAATGATGAGTTACAATAGTTAATCTTTATATTATACTTATTCTATTTCAGTTAACGTTAATGAAAAATCAAATACTAATCAATTCTTAATACTATACGACGTTTTATATTGCACCTATTCTTTATCCTATTTCTCCATTTAATTATTATTACTATTATTTGCTCTATATTAGTTGCACACAGTTAGTAAAGCTTAAAAATGCAATATAAATATATTTATATAATTTAATTAGGGATGCACCGATTTAGGTTTTTCAAATCCGGTCGGACTCGGCCGGATTTAAAATTCAAAAACCGGCCAAATACGTTCTATTTAAATTTATATATTAATAGTTGAGATGGCATGAGTTGATGGCAAAGAAAACAACGTGCTACCTCGGGAAACCGGGTCTCTGGACGCAAAACGAAGATTGATTGAATAGTTGAGTTTCCAATACACAATAAGTTAATGATAAAAAACCAGATATAAAATGATATCATGATATTATAAAGTGTTGATTGTTTTTTATTGAAAAAATTCCAGTGTACAAAAAAGTTTATTATTTCACATGTAAATAGATAAATAAGTGAAGCATTGTATTTTAAGAATATCAGCTTCTCAGCGTTGTCAGAGAGCAGTCTTGAGCGTCATATACTATTATATATAAGTGCTCAGTTTCTTGCACACATATATCAGCTTATATTTTATGCATAACCCATGTTAGAGCATAAAGAAAATTGTCCAACTCACTTCACAATTAGTGATGTTGTTATTATGTGTCATGTATGCACGTGCACAAGTTCTTTTACACAAAGATCAGCTTATAATTTATGCATTACCCATGTTATAGCACAAAGAAGATTGTCCAGCTCACCTCACAATTAGTGATGTTGTTATTATGTGTCATGTATGCCGCCTAGCCTAACCTTTAATATATCCTGTTCTTAAACTATGTATATATATATATATATATATATATATATATATATATATTATGTAGCTAAATGATCCGTCATATACAATTATATAGTATATACACGTGCACAAGTTCTTTTACACAAAGATCAGCTTATAATTTTTGCATAACCCATGTTATAGCATAAAGAAAATTTTCCAGCTCACCTCACAATTAGTGATGTTGTAATTATGTGTCATATATGCTTAGCCTTTAACTTATTGACATAAAATTAATTGAATTCAATAAATTTTTTTCTATTTATAACATTTTAAAATGTTGGTAGACGCTTAAATCCGGCCACCGACCGGATTTGAAAAAACCGGATTTTGGCCGGAGCCGAACTATGGTGCATCCCTAATCTTCCTACGCACCAGTCACATTTCGAAGTCCAGAAATTCATGACCCTGTCGTGACGCGAGAGATGTGCAATAGCCAGCCTACATACTTTTCATTGTGAATGGACATTTCAGTTGGCATAATTAGTGATACAAAGTGGTTTGATGGAACTGTACTAGTAGTTCAGTAGTTTGTATTCGACTGTAGAAAATGCATCGCAAACGCGAAGGGAGTTCATTTCGCCAAAAAGAGGAAGGGCATAAATAAAACAAAATGCGACGTCCTCTAAAAATTAAAAGATATCCAAATAAATAGTTACTTAGTTTCGGCAAATTACAAAAATTTTGGTAGATTTGGACAAGGTGATGGTTCAGAGGTTGAGAGCGCCTGGTCCTGTTTCACAGTGCCTGCAGCAAATTGTCAATTTTTTTAAAAAAAAAGATATTCAATGTTATATAGGTAATTAAAAACCTCAAACATTTTGTAATTACAAAAGCAAAGTTTTTCATTACAGAAAAGACCTAATGTATTATAAAATCACACTCTTTGCTGGGTCCAGGAACCAAAAAAAGTAAATTTGTCACACAGTGAACCTACCTGAACAGTGAACCTAGTTTATAGAATCAGAATGATAGCTGCTATCCGCATTTTAACTTGACCTCTAATGACTGGCTCCTTTCCTAATTATAATCTTTAATACCCACACCATCGCATCAGGTCCTAAAAGTTATGGTGTATTAATACAATTTTATAACGGAATTTAACGTATATAATTTATTTTCATTAATTGTGAAATTAGATTAGAAATATAAAAAATCATTCGAATCAATGTTACGCAATGACCACAGGAACAGGCAAACGTTGAAATATCATTCATAATAAACGTTCATTGTTGTTAAAACATAATACTTCATCATTGGTATAAAAGTTAAAGTTGTTCACATAAGGTAAACACACGGACTCACACATGGACTCACACACGCACACATAATTATCCTCTGCTAAATAATGTTTTGATATATAGATAATGGTCATAATCACTAGAAAATTAAATATAATATAATATACGTAATCACGATCTGACACGCTAAATAAAAATAGGAATTGTAAGCAAGATTAAAATCAATTGACGACATGTAATTTAAGTATATATAGCTTTATACATATATATGATTGTTATAGAAACATGAAGCTAATATGTATCTCTCCTGACAACTTAACTAACGTTTATATATCAAAGCTATCATTTAAAAGTATTCATCCACTAACAATATCAAAAACAATTGTTATACATAGAAGGAATAATAATATTACAACCAATAATAACAATTCAATGCTGTTATTATTATTATAATCTATAACAATAATAATAATAACATTAATAATAATAATAAGCAATAAGATCGTTCATAACAACCATAGCAAAAATTCACCGTTGTAGTAATAAATCTAGTGGGAGCTATTTGATTGAACAGAACCCAAGTATGTATGGCTTAGTCAATCGTAAATAAAAGCGAACGAAATATGAGTAACATTTCTTTCGGTAATTATTTTAGAGTTTCGTGCTTTTTCTGTCAAAACTTAATACACTATACCATAAACTTACATAAACCATAAACATAAACAAAAGATTATTATTACACGGTATAAAATTTGTTCAGATAAATTACATAAAAATATATCATACAAAATAATATTTAAATAATAATCACTATCAAGGTAAATAAAGGATGAACACGATATAATTGCTTAAATAAAAACAAGGGTATGACGTATGAAATGTTTGCAGATGCGAATATAGCATAGCGCGGAACGGATGACACGCTACTGAAACAAATGAAAGTTTAGTTGTACGAATTACAAAAATATCTTTGAGTAGTTAGAACGCAACTTAACATGCTTCAAAAGGAGAAATATGTATAAATAAAAACCTAAATATCTCATAGAATATATGCTATAAATATGCAACTGCAAAACGTACAGACTGATAAACACGAAAGATGCTAACGAACTCAATGCAGATTGTTATAAAATCACAACACATCAACACCGATTCTAAATCAAAATTGAAAAAAAGAAACAGAATAGAAAAACGAAATAAAATTGTATAATTTTTAAATGTTAAATTTTTTGATGCATTAAATTTGATTAAAATGTGCAATAAAGACAAGATCTCTCATTCATAATTAAATATATAGGAATAAAGCAAGCACGCACAAACACCCAAGCACGCACACACATTCACTCACACACATTCACACACACACACACACACATATATATATATACTTAATCATCGTTGTCACCAACAAATGCCTGGTTAGTATAGGCATAAAAAAAACATGATTAAGTAATGCAACTGAAAAATGATCAGGTTGCTAAGAAGTGAAGAACGAATGACTGAATGAAAGAAGTTAACATCTTAATGCGAGTATAGAACAGAAATACATCTAAAACTGAATTAAATACATAGACAAGGACAATAATGAAAACAACAAAATAAATAATAACGCTAACAACAAATTGTGAATAAAAAGGAAATGAAAACCGAGAGAACGGTTCATAATAATGAATGAACAGGCTAACTGGGCCGACGGACGTATTGCACCTTAAACAACCAATAAATAGTAGCATCATTAAATGCAGAGTTTATTCGGTAACGAGTGTCGCCACGCTTGTTAAGCTGGTTAGTTAACGATTCTAGAATGAATGACCTCACAAAATGAAAATAAAATTCGATGCTAGATAGTATAGTAACTACATATGACTTCACAATAATCATCATCATCACCATCACCACCATCATCATCTTAAATTATGTTCACCAGCGGTCATGATAATGATATGCCTCATTCCTCACCAGACCTCGCACTTCTTCAGCGGGTTCATGGGCGAACCTGCAGGGCAGTTGAACTGTTTGGCGAACTCTGGAAAGTTCGTCACCGATCCGATGACTCTGAATCTACGTTCATTTCATCGGCATCATTAACATTAATAATAATTACGTTCACAATTAAAATAATAATGACTACATAAAAATATGGAAAAAAACCGACAGACAGGCAGACGAGCAGCCACACAGCCAGACAGATTCACATTCAGACAGGATTCAATCAGAAAGACAGAATACAATCAGACAATCACGCAATCAGACAAACGCGCAACCAGACAGCCAGAAAAACAAACAGAAAAAGACAGACGGACAGCTAAACAAACAGTGACAACAGTGAAGTAAGTACCTTGGAGGACTGTGAGTATCGATCATGATGCTGTTCTTAACATCTGCTGCATTCGAATTTGCACACCAGACCTTCCATTGTGATGGTGGGGAATCAGATAACAGTGACAAAATATTGATCGAACACAACTAATTAGAAAACATTGACACGTTCAAACACAATTTCGAAACGAGGAAAAAAATCTCAATATAATATTACGAACTTAAGAAAATGTTAAAAACTGCTGTTAAGATGACGTCAGAAAATGAACAGACCTGTGCAAATGAAATGAAGAAAAGTTGTTTGCTGTTGTAAGGAACGCCAGGAAGTTGTGGATCAATGTTCGTCCTGTCGGCAATGTACTGCTCGTATGCGTAGTAAGCTGACTTCAATCCTCCGTTGTCTGCTATGTTCTCTCCTAATGTCATCTTACCTTTCAACTTTTTAGTCCATGCATGGCGGGTGGGTTGTTGTGTGTTTGAATTGTTGCTGTTGTTGTTGTGTGGTATGTGTTGTTGTTGTTGTGTGGTGTGTGTGTTTTTGTTGTGTGGTGTGTGTTGTTGTTGTTGTTGTGTGTGTGTGTGTGTTGTTGTTGTTGTGTGAGTGCCAGTTTGTTTATGGGTAACGCCAGTGTGTGTGTGTGTATAAGTTAGTTTATTTGTGTACATTTGCTTGCTTACGAGTGAATATTTGGAATGATACAATGCTAGGTGATCTACCAAAACAGTAAATAAATAACAACAATATTAGTGCTGAAATATGTTTTTAAATAATAAAATAAAACAAACAAAATGTGAAAACACAGGGAAAAGTACAAAAGCAATAAAAAAGTACCACACAATAAACAAACATACAAGTCTCAACAGTACACCTACAACATGCAAACAACGACAACCACCACACAACAACATACATAACATAGCAACAATTTTTAACATACATTCAACATACATAGAACATTCTTAACATACAACACAACAACGTCCTTGGACAACAATATTGAACAACATACAGCTCACACAGCTATATTCAACTACATACAAAAACATACAAAACAGTAAACAACAGCAACAACAGAACATACATTGTCTCCATTAATTGAATAGTTGGAATATTGATCAACCAAGCACTGAGTTCTTTCCTGGAATAACTGTGATAAATTTGAATGATGTTGACGTACACACAAAGTTATCACCAACGATGGTTATAACCATATGTTAATTTGTTGTTAAATTAACATAATGTATGCAGTATCATCTTAAAATGATGGTGCACCGTTTGAAATATTGGCTAAACTAACGATAGCTTAATGCCATTCATGCACAATTTTACTAACAATTTTGCAGTTGCATGGTTTAGAAATATTTAAGGCAGGTAGGTAGGTAGGTAGGTGGGTAGGTAGGTAAGTAGGTAGGTAGGTAGTAGGTAGTTAGGTTAGAATATTCACCTCAATAATCTTCTCATTCCACCACATTCTCATGATACCTGTCTTGTCATATCTTCTACCTAGTAGTGGCGATGATGAGGAAGAAGATGGTGATGATGATTATGATGATATTGTTGGTGATGATGATGTTGAATGAAAGAAGAAGAATGAATGAATGAATGAAAGAATAAACAAAACCTTGATCGTCAAATCCATGAGTGAGTTCATGGCCCATAATTACACCCATAGCACCGAAGTTCAACGACCTTTATTTATTATTATTGATATTTTTATCGTCAATAGTATTCCCTATCCCCTCAAAAGAGTCACATTACTATTTTCATTATCACCATTTTCATCATTCTAATCATTCAAACATCACCATCATCGCCATTACCATCACTATCATCATCTACATCCTATCCACCACCACCACCACTATCATCATCATCACCACCACGACGACCACCATCATCCTTATCATCATCACAAACTTGGGGTAGTCTTTATGGTAGAAGGGTAGTTGAAGTATGCCGGCCGGGAAGACGATCTCATTTTTGTTGGGTGTGTAATAAGCATTAACGGTTTGTGGAGTCATTGACCAACTGTGTGTTTGTTTGTTCGTTCGTTTGTTTGTATGTTTGTTTGCCCGCTTGTTTGTAAGTACGTGTGTATGTACCTGCGCATGCGTGTATGAATTTGCATGCTCATGTTTTTCGTGTCTACGTCTACTGTGCAGTGTGCATTTGTCTGTGTGTGTGTGTATGCAGTGCAATGTGTCTGCTTCAAGTTTGATACAAATCATTCTTTCGTCGATAAATTGTTTTCAATCCATCCATCCATCCATCCATCCATCCATCCATCCATCCATCCATCCATCCATCCATCGAACCTCATCTTATCATTGTCCTTCCTCAGCTTAGCGAGGCCAGTGTTCATGCCGTTGATGAGTGTTTTGTAGCAGTTCAGGAAGTACTGGTCTTCGTGAATGTCCAACTCGGCATACTTGATATCCAACTCCGTGGTGTTGAGCACGAACTCAGGGAAGCCGATCTTCTCGACAACTGCCTCTGCCTGATTGAAAATTATATATATATATTTCCCGAAAGTTGGAGCATGAAAACACTTGAACCACGAGACAGTACGTAACGCGGAACTATGATGAAAAAAAATCTGACCAAGAACTTTCACTGATCTGCCAGAAGAAACATTTTTATCCCTTAAGCACTCAGCCATCACAGCAATTTCAACAGCCCATGCTTAAAGAAGTGTAAAATCTGGTGATTATGGTGGCAGTCGTTGTTTTCATTGTTTTGGTGGTCAGATACAATTCAACTGGACTTGGGCTCAATTATGGTTTGCGGACAAAGAAAAGCGCATGCACGATGTGCACGTGATGCTGCTGAACGATTTGAATATTCATCACGTGACACACTTTTACAGGCTATGCAAAATCTGGTAATGGTTAACAACCAATGGCGAACTTTGGTACACTTTTCGATGGTGAACAAAGACAGGCGCATAAATTATGCAAGCAGCTTGAACGGTTGATTATTCTGGATTATTGTATGATCTGGTTATTGAACTAGTTAATTTAATTTTATTGATCGTTGTCGAATATAGTTGATAATAAAGGTTCATCCGTAATATTGTTTCTGTTTTAATAAATAAAATAATAATAAAGAAATGAACCAACGCTTGAGGGAAGACTTGCGAGCGTGCGGAAAGGTCGGTCCGTACGCCCAGCAAGAAGGGCGAAACATCTTTTTCGCCCGGCCCATATATTCCGACCCTGAGGTCTGTACAAGATAGTGTAGACCGGCGAGTCCCGGCCAGGGAAGCGACCGCCCGCGTGAAGAGGCGAAGGTGTGTGGTATCAAGCGGCCGGTGGCGTGTACAATCGCCACGGCGCCGATGACCGACACCGACCCTACCGTGTCGACGATTGCCGTCGCAGCGAGGACAGCGGCGACGACGAGCGTGTCGACGGAAAAAGTGGTAGGAGGGAACGCCGCGACAACCTTCACGACGACGACGACAAAAATTCTACAGAAGCAACAAAACAGGAGCCCACTTTATCAATGGCAGCCTTCCTCGTTGCTTCATCCATCCAGGCCAGGTTAGGTAGGTTGTCGATGAATGCTTTCCTGATGTACTTCACCATCTCCACTGCCTGATTGGTGATGGTAGTGGTGGTTGTGGCGGGTTGATGTCATCACTCTTGTATGGCACAACATTTAACGTGATCATAAATATTTTTTTCGTATTTTATGAAATCAAACTACCCAATCAACGGTAAGCCAAATGAACAACTCACAGAAGTTCTACTGCCTTCGTTGAATTCCTCCTGAATGTACTGGGTGGAAAGCACGAAGCCCATGATGCTCTCACTCTCGTACACGCAGTTTCTCCACTTCTCTCTCTCACCTACCACACCTGCATGAACGATTCAATGTAATGTGAGGACATGAGATCAGTGAAGTCATGTGATCAATGACGTCATGCAAGATCACACTCCAGCTCCAACAACACATTACAACAAAACGACAATGACAACGGTATCAGCCTGACAACAACAAAACACATCGTGATGCACCGTGATAGAAGTTTGTGAAGACATAAATGAATGCACGACATCAGCAATATGACAGCTTGCTAATTAATTAGGACGATGTTCACGACAGGTGCCGTTGTGGTATATAATGGGAATCAACGATCACGAGCAATGAGTAACATATCAATCTTGTAGGAATTAAAGTAGAAGAGAGAGAAGAACCGCTAGATAGATAATCGAACCCTACCTGTAAGCACATCCCTGAAATCCTTCCTAACTTTTCTGAATGGTTTGTTGAGGTACTGTGAATAGAATTCCATCACATTCCAGACTATGTAGTTCTGCAGCATCCTGTGCATGTGTATGTTATTGTGTTTGTGTCAATCCATCGGCTTTTTCTTCAATCAATCTACTTAATTTACTATCATTTTATAGAAAACTTCATTGGCATTCAAACTGCAGATAGATAATTCCACCATTCATTCCTTTATTCAAACAATCAACCAGCGGGCCAGCTAACCGACCGACCGACTGACCAACCAACCTTTTGCCATTTTCCTTATGTAAGGTGTTGTTAATCAGAGTGTTGAGCTTGACGAAGTACTCTGGGTAGGGAACAATGATGGGCTCACTTTCATTTATTGTTATGTTCACCTTGGAAAATCTTCCATTTATGTAATCCAACCAATTAATCTGATGATAGGATGAGGTTGATGTGAAGATGATGAGAAGAACAATAATGATTACAAATACATCATCAAATCCTAATTGTCATGCACTAACAAATGGAGCAATTTCTTGAAGGTAGGTAATGTTCTGCTTGTTGTACATCTTCTCATCATCCCGACGTTCTTCATACGGAGTTGTTATCTGGGTGATCGATCGATCAAGTTGTTCTTTCCGTAAGTTATTATTTTTTAATATTCCTCTCAAAGATATCAATCAACCAACTACAAAAAACAGCGCACGGATCCACGCAACACACGGCAACAATTTGTCGTATGTGCTGATGATACACTGCTGCCACATATGACAGCGTTTAAAAATAAATTCACCCCGTAAAATTTCAATAGTAAATTTGGCAGCTAAGAAAATGGTAAAGCAAGCAGGCTTGAACTGAGTGCACGCGTGAGGAAATGCACTATACACTTTATAGATTGGCAGTTGGCAGTCAGGTATCCGAGTGCATTCAAACCAGGTCATCATGAAAGAGGTTCGATAAGACAGTGGTACTTCAAACATACAATTCTTCCAGCTAGCCTACCATCGGCATAAACCACATGGAACGTTATGAAAGTTTACAAATAGACGAAAATGTTAAACGAACTAAAGATATAAAAATGTGACTAGAGCATGTCCTACGTATTTTAATGCCCCCTTCAATCAACACGATGGTGATGATGAAGACGAAGATGAGAGAAACAGAAATCAAGATGGTGTCACGGACAAAATAGAGCATTTATACAACAAAACAGATCTTAAATTGGTTGCCAATGTTTTATTTTGTTTACATTATAATCACTCATCCTAATTCAACCCAATTTTTATAATCTTTGTCGTCATCATCGACGTCATCACAGCAAAATTATTATCATTATTATGCCGAACATGGGGTCTTCCAACGAAATCTCAGCCATCATTATTCTTGAATAATTACCATCCACTTCAGATCAACAACGACAACAACATTATTAAATGTCATTAGCACCACTTGGAAACATTGTTGTTAGCTGTGAGGAGGCAGATCAGAAGACTCACAATCATCATCCTCATTATCCTAATCCTCATCATCACCTTCACCCTCATCATCACAATCATCATCATGGTCGCTCTTATTATCATCATCATCCTCATCACAATCATTATCATCATCAACATCCTAATCATCATCATCATCATCGTCGTCACCCTCACCAACTAACTGAACCTCGGCCAGATCCATTTCGAAGAGCAGAAGTTCCCTCATCAACTCCCTCGTCTCGTTCTCCTCCCCGCCCATCAGCACGCTAAGTGACGTCATGTACTTCAAATAAGCTGACATCAGCTGTCACGTGATCGCGGTTGTGATGATGATAATGATGATGACGGTGGTGATCTTGATGATGATGATTATGAAGAATGCGGTAATGATAAAGTCGATAATATGACAAAAATAACAATACAAATGATAGAATTGTTTGTAATTATTGCTTTCATTTTTTTTATTGATTAATTTACTCATTTATTCACTCATTCATTTATTTGATCATTCCTTCATTCATTCATTCATTCATTTCATTAGTTCTTCAATCATTCAATGAGTGGATGAAAAAAAAACAATAAATGAATGAATAAAAAAATGATTACAAGATACAAAATACCTTATCATTATCAATAGATTTATTGAGATAGAAATCTCTATTTATATTGAAACCTTGTTGCTCCACCTGGCGTTGATGGTAATGATGGCGACAGTGATGATGATGATGAGGAGGATGATGACGTAAATGATGAGAACGATATTAAAAATGATGGTGATTATGATTATAAAAGAGATTCAACGTAAGAAATATAATCATTATCAGCATCCTCCACTTTCATCATCTTCACAATCAGAATTTATTTTCACTTCTCAACTTAACTCATGGGAGACATCACATATCATGAATATCCTATTCCATCCATTTATTCATCCACCATCTAGCAATCCATCTATTAATTAATCCATCCATCCAGTGATTAATCCATTCGTTCACCTAGTCATCCATCGACCATACAATCCATCTATTCATCCCACCATCCATGAATGAAACAGACTCTGAGAATGTTTTTGTTAGAATCCTTTTCATCCTCTGAAACGGATAGCGAGAAGAAGATTGGGATGCCATTATCCATAGCCAGCTCCGTACTTCTCATAAAATCCCAGTCCGACTCATTCCACCTTGATGTGATGGCATTAAAATTACGCTACATTACATCAACAACATTAACCAATGTTACATTACATTAAAATAACATTATAACGTTATAACATTTACATAACATTAACATTAATAACAGTGACATCAAAATTACATCAACGTCAGCATTTCATTAATTCGACATCACCTTACATCCCATCACTTCAACATGGCATTGCATAAACACTCCATTACAGCAACATTATGGCTTCATTACAACAACATAACATAACGCTAAGAAAAATATATATTTCCATATTCCCATTCATGTGTTTGATCACGTCAGACAAGAGTCTACAACACTCATTTGAGGGTAAGGACATGAAATAATCACATGTTGACATAAATAAGTTTGAATTTTTTTCTAAGACGTGAGCATATTTGCATGCCTAAATCTATAGCAAGGTAATCATCACAATGATAGTGTGGCAATGATGTTCTTAACAATTAAACACCCCATCAACCAGTGTTACTTCATACTAACCATCACATTTACATTACATACGTCTCAATGTAAACATTATTTCTCTAATGTTTGCAGTTGTTTCTGCACCTTATTGCTGCAATACATATATATATATATATATATATATATATATATATATAAATAAATAATCATATATAATGCATGATATATAGGGTTGTTATAATATAGAGGTACCGCGGAAAATTGTATGGAGATACTTTTCTTTTAGAATTGGGCTTTGGCATCTGCAATAATTTTGGCATCTGCAATAATTTTGGCATCTTTTAAATTTGACAATTCAAACAATTTATCGTTTCAATCATTCACATGTTGTATATTAACTAAGGGATGCAATGTTACAGATAAAATATCAGTTACGCTTCACATGGCAACGTTTAAAACACACAATAGTATTGCAATACATTCAAAAGCCTGTATTGTTATTTGCAATACAAGTTTTTTTAGCATTATTATCAGCCCATAAATATCTACAGAATCCTCAAAATTAGACTGCATTTTTTGATAGTAGAAAATGAAACTAACCCATCAACAAGTTGTCAAAATGAAAAACAACAAAGTATTTGAATCAACATTTTTTGCACAACTGAATATTATCATCTTCACCGACATTAGCATTTTGTTATTCAGAGCACATTCAGTTTGTAATTGCTAAAAAAAATTAAGAGTTTCAAAAACAGAAAGATGATTTGATATGGTTGGCAGAACATCAAATGCTTCCACTTACTAAAAGAATATGAAAGTTAAAAGTATGAACAAAGAAGTGAACATGAAGGAAAACAACGAAAAATATCAATAGACAAGTGAACATGAAAGCGAACAACATAAAAAAAAAAGAGTACATTGTAACAATTCATCAATCCTCTCATCTTCATAGTGGTTGCCAGCGTCAACGTTAAAACATTTGGAGAAAATTGTTTTAAAAGTATCACTTAGTTAAAGATGATGGAACAGATAAACAGCCAATAACAACATGCTATTCATTATCAGTAAATATTTTTCTCCTGTTCTCACAAATCATCACCCTCAAACATAAAGGCCGCTTAATTTTGCCACGTGTGCTCATTTATTTTCATTTACCATTTTCATTATTTATGCAATAAAATAATTGTATTCTTTTAGTTACATTCATAATAATTAACAAGTATTATTAAGATCATATCAACATTCAAATTCTAGGAAGTTGAAAAAAATCAAAAAACTAATGCAAAATGTAAGTCAGAGGAGAATTTATAATGAAAACCACAAGAAGACTTAATGTATTGAAAACATTTTTAATTACAAATTCCTTCATTGATATTTGTTGTATTAACACCCAACCATCAGCTCAACCGTCAATGCATCACCATTATGACAATTAAATATGATCAAGTCAGTTGAATGAATGAATAAAAAGAAAGAAAGAGTGAATCACTTACTTGCCAGCAATATCAGAGACAGACCATCCACCCATCTTCTGCATCATGTAAACCACAGGCTTCGAACCAATCTTCTCAATCTCTTCCTTCGGGTCCATGCAAGACATGTAGAACTTCTTCAATTTCGTCTGTGATTCGCTGTAACTCTCATTAAGAGGTGCCTCTGTGTAATTATTTTTGTGCTTGCATGTGTGTGTGAGTGTGTGTGGTTGCTTGTTTGCCTGTGTATGTCTATTTAAGACCATGTGTATGTGTGAGTTGTTTATGAGAACATATGTGTGCATTTTCTTATATGTGTGAGCTAATGTGCATGCCAGTTTTAAAATTGTAAAGTTAGACTAATTAAAAAAAGTAAGAAACAAGTACATCCATTAAAAATTTGAAAACAACAATCTTTTTAGCCAACTTTAAACATTTTTGCAGTTTTTTTAAACTTAAAAATTCTGAATACATTTTAACATCTAGGAATTTTTATAAAAGGTTAAACACTAAGTCCAATGAAAATGATCATTAATTTCAACAACATGTGCGTGCGTGTTATCTTTCACTTGCCACCTCTCATTAACGAAATAAGAGATGTTATTATTATCATCATGCACATGTATGCAGTTGGTTGGATGTGCTTAGTTGTTGGATGTTGGAGTCCCACGCTTCATGCTACAAACATCAAATTTCACAAATATGCATTATATACAGCAATTTTGTTATGTGAGATCTTGATAACAGGGAAAGTTTGACCAAAAACAATTAATCAATCAATCTTCGTTTTGCGTCCAGAGACCCGGTTTCCCGAGGTAGGACGTTGTTTTCTTTGCCATCAACTTTTTGCGCCAAATTAGACGATCAGTTGTATCCATATCATTTAAATTTAGAGCTTTCATGTCTTGCTCGATTGTTTGTGACCAGGACTTCTTTGGACGGCCTTGGGACGTGTGCCAGGTACTTCAACATCTGCAAGAGAAGTTATGGCACTGTTTCCACTTCGTTTGACATGACCAAACCACCGCAGACGGTGTTGCCGGCATTCGTCCTTTATATCATCTAAACCAGCACGACGCAGGATTTCGGTAGATTTGATGTGGTCCTTCAGACTAATTCGTTGCATCCATCGGAGCATTTTCATGTTGGTTCGTTGAAGTTGTTGTTCTAGTTTGGTTGTCATTGGCCATGTTTCTGCACCATATAACAACACCAGACGTATCACAGATTTATAAAGTCTTGATCGTAGTGGTAGTGGGATGTCACGCCGCATCAATATAGAGGCAAGAAGATGCTTCCAGTACAATCCAGAACATCCCCTAGATATTGAAACAATGTGACTCTCTCTATTTTAATGGCTTCAAAAACAGTGCTATTTCCAATTGATGCAAGCAGGACAAACAAAATTGGACACTTTAGATAAAGTACCAATTATTTTTGAACAACGTTTGTGACACCACTGGTTACACTGCTGGTTACACTGGTTACACTTCTAACAACAACAATAAAAACAACAGAAAGTTGTTTTTATTGTTTTCTTCCTTTGTCTGCCTGTCTTTAATCATGTTTAATGTAACTTTGTAACCATTAAAATCATCAGCATCAAATTATTTCACAACTTTGTTTGTGAAATCATCAGCATCAAATTAT